GTTACTATTCATTAGCCTATGCAACCTATAATTATTAATGTTTAAATATTGTGTCCATGTTTCCTTGTTTATTTCTTTATTCAATTCCCAAAATTCATTGATGACCCTTTTTGCCAGTGTTATATTGTTATTTAACTGTTGTTCATTTTCATTTCCCGTAATTACAGGTGGTTCCGTGCGGTCATACATTATGCTCGCTACGCCTACTGGTTTAGCTCCGCCTTGGTCGGTCATCCGATTGATGTTCAGGTGGTAACAAAATGGTATTGTTGATATATTACACGCGTATGGGTTCCGGAACCAATCCCATAGCGTTTGACATAATTCGACGATTTCCGCTTCCGGAAACCTGCCAGGAAGGATGTTATTCCTATCCCCGTAGTAAACGATTGCCAAATTTATTTTGTAAATACTCTCTTACCAACAACGGTATAATTAATAAACAAAATAACCGGTATTGGGCTGATCACAATCCATATTGGACGACTGATACAAATCACCAAACAGTTTGGGGAACTAACGTTTGGTGTGGGCTACTAGATGGGAGACTTCTCGGGCCATATTTTTATGATGGTACACTTACTGGGAGAAGATACTTGAAGTTTTTAACTGATGTTTTACCTACATACATGGACGATATTCCATTAGAGTCTAGAACTAATTTACTTTTTCAACAAGATGGAGCACCTGCACACAATGCAATTGTTGTAAGAGTGTATTTACAAAATAAATTTGGCAATCGATGGATGGGTACATATTATGGTGCAGTAGCTTGGCCACCAAGATCTCCAGATCTCACACCATTAGATTTTTTTCTGTGGGGACATTTGAAGAATGAAGTTTATTCAACTCCACCTTTAAGTATTCAAGATCTAAAAAATAAAATTGTAATTGCTTGCGCAGAACTTAAAAAGGAACAGATATTAGCAGCTACTCAAAGAGAAGTGATTCGTCGATTTCAATCATGCATGGAGAATGATGGGCAAAATTTTGAACAATTTATTAGATAGTTATTAGAAATTTGTTTATCCAAATAAATAATAGAAATGATTAAAATTATAAAAATATTGTGTTAATTATTTTAATCGTTTCTTACCTAGTAATTAGTAAATGAACCAACATTTACGTCTAATTGAGGTTAATTAATTCCTCAAAATTAAATTAAAATGATTTAATAATATCTGCAAACCTACGTAAGCAAAAAAAATACTTAAAATTGTATAATAATTCAAAAAATTCTAGTATGATTGTTGAAAAATTCAATAATTTTAATCGAAACTTTGACTGGTTGCCATTTGGTCAATTTTGATTTTAGAGCTATGGTAAAAAGGATCAAATCGACTTAAAAAAATTCTGTCTATCCGAATTTGGTATTCAAAACACCTGTTGCCATTTAAAAAAAATGCAAGTTGTATTGCGCATGCGCACACGGAAAGATCTAAAAATGTAAAAATCATCAAGAAATGTGTATTTATGTATTCCCTATCCCCTCCCGAAAACCGCATATTAATCCGATGTCACTGGACAGAATTATTTAGTGTTACCTTTAAAAGGAATCACACATATATATTCTACTATGCTTTATAAATACATTTTATCCTATCCTATTATTACTTAATTATGCATAATTAAAACTTCGTCATGTGTTTGTGATTTCTTCGTTATCCACATAATTGTCTTCGTAATATAGTTTCACATCGTTTTTGTTTACTGTCACTTTCTTGCGATTTCGTGATATAACTACATTTTCCGAATCTAGTACGTCTAGTACTTCGTATGGTCCCTTCCATAGTGGACTTAATTTATTTCTTTGAGTATGATCTTTAAGTAAAATCATATCATTGATTTTTAACTCTTCCGTATTTGTTTTCTTATCATAATATCGTTTATTTACTTCTTTATTCTTTATTAATCTATTCCGTGCAATTTGGTGAGCTTCCTGGAACTTTTGCTTAAGATCGTATACGTAATCATCGTAATTGTACCTAGGTTCCGGTTTTGCTTTCAGTTTAACTGGTATATTAATATTTTTGCCATATAGTAACGCGTATGGTTGGTACCTCGTGGACGTATGTTCCGTAGAATTGTATACAAACATGGCGTAAGGTAAAAGCTCATCCCAATTGTCTAAACTTTTACTTATGTAGTGTCTTAAATATTCTGCTAATGTCTTATGTGAACGTTCTAGAGCCCCATTGGTCATTGGATGATAACCGGAAGTCTTAATCTTGTTTATTTTTAACAATCTACATACGTCTTTGAAACAATTTGACATAAATTCGGTGCCCTGATCGCTTAAAATTTCATCCGGTATCCCATGTATCCAGACAAAATTTATTACGAACGCTTTCGCCACCACGTTAGCGGTGTGACAAGGTATTGCTACCCCTAGGCTGAACTTTGTTAAATCGCATTGCATCGTGAGTATATAATTGTTACCTAACCCGGTTGTAACCAAAGGCCCTACAATGTCCAAAAATATTTTTTCAAATGGTTACGTACTAGTTGTAGTAATTACCATTGGATATTGAATATGTTTGTTAGTATTTTTATTAATTTGACATGTTGTACAATTCTTTATATATTCTTTTACGTCCTGCTTTAAGTTCGGCCAGTTAAATTGTTTCTTTATTTTCTTTACGGTTTTGTTGACTCCTAGGTGTCCATCCAATACGGAATTATGTAATTGTTTGAAAATTACTAATTTTTCTTCCCGGTAAATTCTAATTTGGTACAAATTATTATTTCTATATTTGTATTACGAAAAATGTATCTTATCATTGATCTGACTTTTGCCCAATCTAGTCCGTCTTGTCGTCCTAATTGGTTCATTGCTAATTTGGTTAATTTATGTTTTTCGCAAAAATACTTAAGGTTTAGTAAAGCAACGTGTAAATTTTGGCTAATTGTTTCTTTTTCGTTTTTGTTATCAAAAATATTATGTACCTATCTCCACTTTTGAATTTTACGACGTCGCTTAAATCTTTAGGAGATTTTAATTGTTTGTCCCTACCAAATCGCATTTTTAATTCGTAATTAATACCTGATCGAAAATTATAATATTTTTCAATTTCAGATACTATGTGGTACTCTGACGGACTGTTTATTAGTTCGCCGTGTACTTCCTTAACGTCTTTATTAGATATTACTGTTGTTTCGAATTTTTGCATAAAATTATCATAACTTTCGTCCTTAATTTCCGTAATATTATACATACGTGATAACGCGTCGACATTGGTGTTTAATTTGCCCATTTTGTATACTATCTCATATTCATATTCTTCCAATTGTAGTCTCCACCTTGCCAATCGGGATAATGGGTCTTTTAAATTGAATAGCCATGACAAAGGCCTATGGTCCGTAAGAATTGTAAATTTTCTACCATATAAATACGGTCGAAATGTTTTTACGCCGAATATAATCGCTAAACATTCCAGTTCCGTTGCTGAATAATTACATTCCGCCCTATTTAAAGTTCTAGAACTGTAAGCTATTGGTAAATCCGATCCTATTTTACCTTGAGATAATATTGCACCTAGTGCCCTACCGCTAGCGTCTGTCGTTAGTATAAATTGTTTTGTAAAATCTGGATATTGTAGAATTGGTTCTGAACACAATATTTCCTTTAATTTATCGAAAGCTTTTTGACAATTTTCGTCCCAATTAAATGTTACGTCTTTTCTTAATAATTTCACTATTGGATTAGCAATAGCGCTATAATTTTCTATGAATTTTCTATAATACCCACTAAGTCCTAAAAAACTTTTTATTTGTTTAACATTTTTAGGAACCGGAAAATCCTTTACAGATTTAACTTTCGCTTGGTCCGGTTTTATTCCTTCGTCACTAATTACATGACCTAAAAATAAACATTCCCGTTGTAAAAAACTGTCCGGTGTTCTGAACATTTGTCCGGTTCTATTTTTAGATTGTGTATACGTAATCTCTCGAATACGTCTATTAATTTTTCATTGTGGTCTTGCAAATTTTTAGCATACACTATTATGTCATCCAGGTATACTAAACACTTCATTCCTATTAACCCTGATAACACGTTTGTCATCATTTTTTGAAATGTCGCCGGAGCTGAACTTAGACCCATAACTAATCGTTTAAATTGATAATGCCCTTGTCCCGTTGAAAATGCCGTAAGTTCTTTTGATTCTTTAGCCAAAGGTACCTGGAAATATCCTGATTTCAAATCTATCAAACTGAACAGTTGACATTGTCCTAATTGATCTAATATCTCCGTTATATTTGGTAATGGGTGAAATTCATTTAAAGTTACTTCATTAAGTGCCCTAAAATCGATAACTATTCTGAATTTTTGTTTTCCCGAGGCGTCCTCCTTCTTTTTGACTAATATTAATGGTGCGTTAAACGGACTCATTGATCTTTCTATGATTTCATCTTTCATCATTTGACCTATTTGCTTTTCTATCTCCGGTTGTTGTGAAAACGGTAACCGGTATGGTTTTTTATAAATTGGTTTCAAATCTTTAGGAACTTTTATTACGTGTTCTGCTGCCGTAGTACACGTAAGATTATCCCCTTCTAAATAGAAAATGTCCGCGTAATGTTCACATATTTTTACTATCGAATTATATTCGTGAACTTGAAGATGATCAGTACGTATCAACGCCCTGACCCGACGCGAGCGTTCATTGGCAATTGTGTTTATACACCGTACGCTATCTGTCAAAACATCCGTGTCGTATGAAATATTACGCGCTTGACCTACATTTATTTCCTGTGTCATTTCAGATATATTTAATATGCTTATAGTAATTTTGTTGTTTTTGACTGTATTGTAAATATTCGCGCAATATACGTCCGGTATTAATTCTTGTTTATTAATTAAAATATTTTTATTATTCATTTCTTTATCGGGTATATCGATTTGTACTATTGTTTCTGAACGCGGTTTTAATGTAAAACAGATATCACTATCGCTTCCGATTTTATTATTATTTATTGTTAGCGTTAGGATTAATTTTGCAATGTCGAGGTCATACCAAGGGCGTGTGGCTGCTGCAACTGTGATGAAGAATACAAAACGGCCAATGTATAAATTACATAAAACTCTATTGCAGCATAGTCCTGGGAAAAAATGGCCATCATCGAAGTTGGAAATACAACGCGAAAGAAAACATATACGTCAAAACGAACTGAGAAGCAAAACGTACAGAACTAAATTGAAGTTCCAAAGCAACAACGTTGATCCGTCGTACGATGAAAAGTCACAAAAACCGGATATGACCTCTGAGCAATTTGATGATGAAAAAAAAAATATTTTTCATTTGTTAAAAGAAATGGCAGCTAACCGCGATGTCATTGAAAAAGAAACAGTGGATCAATCAGCATCAAGCAAATGGTTGGAATATAGAAGGCACCTTATTACGGCTTCAAATTTTGGACTTATAATTTGTTTACGAGCTGATACACGATGTGAAAATGTTGTAAAAAGTATGTTGTACTCATCAAACGTCGATTGTAAAGCAATGGAATATGGACGGGAACATGAACAAGAGGCAAAGTTACAATTGGAAACAGTTTTGGGTGTAAGTATTAGTGAATGTGGTTTATTTATAGACACAAAAAATCATTTCTTAGGAGCAACACCTGATGGACTAATAGGTAATGACACATTGGTTGAAATTAAGTGTCCTATATCTGCTGCATATATAACGCCTGAGGAAGGGATACGCCAAAGAAAAATTACTCTATGGAAAATAAATAAAGATAAAGATATTATAGGAATAAATACTCATCATAAATACTATTACCAAATCCAAGGACAGTTGCATGTGACAGGCCGAACATTTGGAATTATGGTGTATTGGACAAAAAAAAGGTATTAAATACGAAACTATTGAAAAAGATGATCAATTTTGGGAAAATAATATGTTTCCGAAGCTGCAAAATTTTTTCTTTAACTGTCTTTTACCGGAACTAATTGATCCGAGACATTCCAGAAGCATGCAGATTAGAAATCCTACTTATATTTTGGAAGCAAAACAGAAAAAAAAAAGTTGAAATTAGTATAAATATTTAGATTTTTTCTGTTCTACTTTTTTATATATTTATATTTGCAATTGATGTTGTTTAAATGTATTTATTCAAATATTATGTTATAAATATGATGTTCGGTTGTTTATATTTGAACTAATGCCAATCTTATATAATAAAACGCTAATAACGCGTATAAGATCCGCGGGGAGCGCTCACGGCACTCCGCGTTTCTTCCATGACGACCAATCACAATACTTCCCGCGCGTTCGCTATAAATTCCGCTCGCTTATCTCCCTTTTCCTTATCGATCCTAATATTTTCGAACATTATTATTATTATTAAAAAAAAACCCGTGTTTTTCAATTTTTTGACGTGATAATAACGTCTTATAAATCGATTACCCCGCGACCGTCGGGCGGAGTGGGGGGACCCATTAAACGAGTAATTATTTTTGACGAAGTATAACTTAGCCGGTATTCGACTTAGAGACCCCGTACCAATGGGCATCTCAATTGTTTAGGCCCCAGATGAATTTTCAACATTAGGGAACCAAAGCCCCCACCCCCCCCACATTTTGAGTTGAGTATAACTCGGCCGGAGTTTTTTTTTTTGCGTTTGCGTTTTTTTTTTCGTCACATTTATCATTTTTAACGAAAGTGTTAATTTTTTTTTTAATTTGCATTATTATATTATATATATTATTATTATTCGTTTGACGATATTTATTGGGCAAAAAAATTATTATAATTAACATTTACCGACGCACCTACATGTTTCTTTTAATAATACATTATAATATAACTAACCTACGTGTAGTACCTACTTGATATATTACAGTTTTTACGTGATTCCGATTTGGTTAAATACTGCTACAGATTATAAATACTATATTAAAAAATAGTACGACTGTAATATGACTGCTTCATTTGCCGTTTTTTTCGAAAATTCGAGTCCCGGGGTGGAGTAGTGTGTCGGAAACGAGAGTATGTATAATGTATTCATTTATAGATACCTACGTTTAATAGGATAGTATTACATTTCAATAAAATTTGTTATTCACCAATATAATTATCTATTTGTTAATTTGACTTAATTCTCATAATTAAATAAATATACAAGGTAGGTATATTTTAGAAAATATCCAATCAGAAAATTAGATTTTGTCGACTTATTTGTTATAACCGCGAAAACATAACAATGATTACATTGATTACAGTGAAGCCCAACATAAAACACCTGATAACTGTTCTCTATAATTATCAACAAATACAATTTTATTACCTCCTGTATACTTTTTCATATTTGAACGGCCGTTTCGAGCACTTTTCGCTGTAGGCGGATTGTCCGTTCGGGAATCGGATTTCACCCGAGATGACTGATAACTAGACACTCAAACTCAGAATCCGAATTTCCGATTTCAACACACACACACCAGAACCGGACATACACGCCCGGTGCATGGTCTGCCATCCGACGTAGTCGGATTGCCTACCTGACTAGCTACTTGCATACGAGCGACTTACACCCCCACTGCATCTGACACTCGGGAATCGACTTTCACCCGAGATGACTGATAGCTAGACACTCAAACTCAGAACCTGAATTTCCGATTTCAACACACATACGAGAACCGGACATACACACCCGATGCATGGTCTGCGATCCGACGTAGTCGGATTGCCTACCTGACTAGCTACTTGCATACGAGCGACTTACACCCCCACTGCAACCGACACTCGGGAATCGAGATGACTGATAGCTAGACACTCAAACTCAGAGAACCCGAATTTCCGATTTCAACACACATACGAGAACCGGACATACACGCCCGGTGCATGGTCTGCGATTTGACGTAGTCGGATTGCCTACCTGACTAGCTACTTGCATACGAGCGACTTACACCCCCAGTGTCCCCCACTGCATCCGACACTCGGGAATCGACTTTTACCCGAGATGACTGATAGCTATACACTCAAACCCAGAATCCGAATTTCCGATTTCAACACACACACACCAGAACCGGACATACCCGCCCGGTGCATGGTCTGCGATCCGACGTAGTCGGATTGCCTACCTGGCTGGCTGTGTCGTACGATCGACTTGAATCACGTGACTTACGACTAGACACTCTTCCGAGTTCAAAAATTACCGCTTAACCAGTGCTGCCAACACGACAAAACACAATAACCGACGACCCCCCATTCCCGCCGCAGGCTGGATCAAAAAACCCAGCATCGCCGACAAAGATGCACCACCGCCCACACAGTCTTTCCGCCGTAGGCGGGATGACAAACACCGGAATCTAGTCTTATATAATAAAACGCTAATAACGCGTATAAGATCCGCGGGGAGCGCTCACGGCACTCCGCGTTTCTTCCATGACGACCAATCACAATACTTCCCGCGCGTTCGCTATAAATTCCGCTCGCTTATCTCCCATTTCCTTATCGACGAACATTTTCGAACATTATTATTATTATTACTAAAAAAAAACCCGTGTTTTTCAATTTTTTGACGTGATAATAACGTCTTATAAATCGATTACCCCGCGACCGTCTGGCGGAGTGGGGGGACCCATTAAACGAGTAATTATTTTTGACCAAGTATAACTTAGCCGGTATTCGACTTAGAGACCCCGTACCAATGGGCATCTCAATTTTTTAGGCCCCAGATGAATTTTCAACATTAGGGAACCAAAGCCCCCACCCCCCCACATTTTGAGTTGAGTATAACTCGGCCGGAATTCAAGTTAAAGACCTCGGACCAAGGGGGAACCCATTCTTTTTATGAATACTACCGTTTTCCGCTTTAGGGAACGGGGGCACCTCCTCCCCCCCTTTTTGGATTTTGCTTTTTTGATGGATTTTGGTCCGGGAGAGTACTAACACCCACCTCGCCAAGGGGAAACTCGGGGTTTTGAGTTTTTGATAGGATTTATTGGGATTTTCTTAAATATTGTTTTTATTGATAAGGAAAGTGATAAGAATTTTATTTTATCGCCGCGAGCACGGCGACGCGGCTTAAGAGTCATACATTTGCCTCGAAATTTCATCTGAGTAGGTGGCTAGGTTGGTTAGGCGTTAGGATAGGTGACTCGAGGGTCGTGGGTTCGAAACCGCCGTCCGGGATTTTCGGTTATTTGCGGCGGCCGTGATATATAGAATTTTTTTTTTCGCGTTTTTTTTTTCGTCACATTTATCATTTTTAACGAAAGTGTTAATTTTTTTTTTAAATTTGCATTATATTATTATATATATTATTATTATTCGTTTGACGATATTTATTGGGCAAAAAAATTATTATAATTAACATTTACCGACGCACCTACATGTTTTTTTTAAATTTGCATTATTATATTATATATATTATTATTATTCGTTTGACGATATTTATTGGGCAAAAAAATAATTAAAATTACCATTTAATTAATACTTGATTTTACCGACGCACCTACATGTTTCTTTTATTAACACATTATAATAACGTATAACTAACCTACGTTTAGTACCTACTTGATATATTACAGTTTTTACGTGATTCCGATTTGGTTAAATACTGCTACAGATTATAAATACTATATTAAAAAATAGTACGACTATATTTGCCGTTTTTTTTCGAAAATTCGAGTCCCGGGGTGGAGTAGTGTGTCAGAAACGAGAGTAGGTACCGTGTAGGTATCGCTATATACAGGCATATATACATGCGCCTCGAGATGACTGATAGCTAGACACTCAAACTCAGAATCCGAATTTCCGATTTCAACACACATACGAGAACCGGACACACACGCCCGGTGCATGGTCTGCGATCCGACGTAGTCGGATTGCCTACCTGACTAGCTACTTGCATACGAGCGACTTACACCCTCACTGCATCTGACACTCGGGAATCGACTTTCACCCGAGATGACTGATAGCTAGATACTCAAACTCAGAATCCGAATTTCCGATTTCAACACACATACGAGAACCGGACATACACGCCCGGTGCATGGTCTGCGATCCGACGTAGTCGGATTGCCTACCTGACTAGCTACTTGCATACGAGCGACTTACACCCCCAGTGTCCCCCACTGCATCCGACACTCGGGAATCGACTTTTACCCGAGATGACTGATAGCTAGACACTCAAACTCAGAATCCGAATTTCCGATTTCAACACACACACTCAAGAACCGGCATACACGAATGGGGCATGGTCTGCGATCCGACGTAGTCGGATTGCCTACCTGGCTGGCTGTGTCTTACGATCGACTTGAATCGCGTGACCTACGACTAGACACTCTTCCGAGTTCAAAAATTACCGCTTAAAAAGTGCTGCCAACACGACAAAACATAATACCCGACGACCCCCCTTCCCACCGCAGGCTGGATCAAAAAACCCAGCATAGCCGACAAAGATGCACCACCGCCCACACAGTCTTTCCGCCGTAGGCGGGATGACAAACACCGGAATCTAGTTAGTTGTAATAAATAAATAAATAAATAAATAAATAAATCATAAATCATAATCAATAATCATATTATAATTATTATAACTGAACAACGTTTCTTATATGAACAATAAGTTCCATGCAGAGATTGTTGGTAATACTAACGTATATTCAATTTTCAATTACAAATATTATAATGAAATAATAAAATGTATTAAATAATTTAATGTGTCGGTCTGGCCATCGCCGCTGGTTTGCGAATGCGGCCGGGGCCCCTCCGTTTCTTGTTTTATTTTAAGGTCTTGTCAATGTTTTATTTGCGTGGTCTTTATAGAGAGTATGAAATATTTAACCATACGTAATTTTTAGGTATAATTTTTCTTTACAGGACCCAACGCCCAAGGCTCGTTCATTATGGGGCCCCTTAAAAAACTGATCCATGGGCTTTGGTATGCCAGGCTGACACTGATTAAACTGTTATATATAATTAATAATTAGTCAAAATATGTAAATGTTAATGTTATAAACTATGATACAAAATATGATACTATGATTATCAGACACAGTTCACACCATATTAACTATCAAGCTGTTTATTATTACGGTAAAGTCTGTACTCTTTAGGTAATGTATAAAAATTAATAAATAACAATGTTTGTCGATTCCCATAATTTAGAATCGGTAATATATTAAGAGTTACGACGTAATATTATTATCTTATCTTGTTTTCGCGGTCGCACCGTCGACGCGTCGTACGCGGAAACCATCTAAATTGACTTATTAACACTAATGTCCATTTACGAGTATACAATTACTAACACATCCACAACAGTAGTTTAGAAATTGCCTATATAATGTTCCTTAATAAATGTCATTGTTGAGGCTCCTTAATAAGCTAAGAGACATTGCGAATAAAATAGTCCCAGTCCTAGTCCAATTACACTCTTTTAAACATTTTTTTTTAAATTTTCATAAAATGAATTTTAATTGTGAAATTTGACAAATTGGATTCTCAACAAAGTTTTCATTAAGACCAACAGTGATCCTCCAAATAAAAAAATAATAACACAAACCAACTTTTACTCAACTAAAAATAAAAGACGAAAAATCGAAAATGATTTGACAAAACCTTCCAGACTTGAAACCCGAGATTTAAGTGATTTGTTTTTAAATAAGAGATTGAATGTCTTAAAAGAACAAGATATTGAACATTCATATTTTAAAGAACATTAGATTCTTTATTTCATTCAGTCACCTAACTATTGATGTACAAATTATTAATTATTATTCTTGTATATACCTACTTTGTGTTTTTAATTATTCTAAGCTTGTAACAATAATTATTAATGATTACTAACTATTAGTTTGTTCTTTGATATTATGTAATTTTTTAATATTTTGATAACTGATAAGGCAGTACCGTACAATCATTGTTGAATTATTTGTTCACGCGCGCATGCGTACAATCATTGCACCATTCCTGTATTTAGACGCTCCTATATTCTATACTATTATCAGCGTAGGCCGTTAGTTCCGGGAATACGTAATGTGGTCGATATGCGGGCGGTGAGCCCCCCGGTGAAACGAGAACGCGATTATGAATTTTACGAATTACACACACTAATATTCATTTACTTCTCACACAGTATCACAGCTTAACCCCAAATATGGGGTTTCATCGATTCCGCCAGACCTTTTTATACTTGGGTATGAGGTTTATCGATTCCGCCAGCATCGTTTCCGTCAGTGCAGGTAGTCTAAAAACGACCTATCGATTCCGCCAGGGAAAAAATAATCTTCCCGAACATTTTAGTTTTATTTTACTTACATCCACCCAAACACTTTTTTATTTATACACGTCTTAAACACAAGGATCCAAACAGATACGTACATTATTCTCAGGTCAACTCACAAAACAAAAATTAGTAAGAACACAAAATATATTCATCAAAAAAGAAAAATCGAAGATTTATTAATAGATTATGAGGCTAAAAAAATTAACCGCTCACATTTCATTAGTTTGGCATCATCCCATTATAAAAAATAACATTGTAAAACTTAAAACTATATTTGACTAAATTAATTTGTATTTAAATTAATTATTGAATTATTTTGTTGATATTGTTACATGCGGCCCTTCAGGGATCCAAAAGCTTGTTGCACTTTTACAATAACATGTAGTCAATTTAAATATAAATCAATTGTAATTTATTAAAACCAATAATAATTAATATAGTCGTGGTGAATTGCAGCGTCGTGAGTTGACTCGTTGTAGTAGTCGATAATCTCCATGTAAGGGCTCTTTCACACGAAGCCACCAGAGCGGCGCCACCATGGTCGCGCCACCACAAGATATTAATAGTTAAATGAAGGTTTTCACACATGGTGGCGCCACCAAGTCGGCCGCGCTAGTCGTAGAAGTTTGCGCGACCAGACTATCTGAACGCGCGACCAAAATAGAAGCGTCACCAATTAAATGTATATTGTTGTAATGTAAAAACACAATTATTTTCATTCGACTCACTGCCAGTGGCGCGTGTTGACGTGGTTTTTGACGCTGTCGATATTTTTAAGATAGATTAGAACATGGATAGTCACTTTGACACCGAAAAGTTTATAATAGAAATTGAAAATCGTCCAGCAATATGGAACTCGGCCTGCAGCGAGTATTCAATTCGCGATGTAAAAAGAAAATGTTGGGAAGAATTGACTGATATATTTTCCAATGAAGATAATACAGTCCAAGAGAAAAAAGAAATTGGTGAGTTAAAAAAAAATAATAGTGAAAGTAATAAAAATAAATAATAATAAAAGTAAGTATGTGTCTATAGCAGGGTTGGCACGTATTATATATACATGGAATTATTATTATTATTATTATTATAGTAATTATATTATATTTTATTATTTTATATTTTAGTAGTTATATTATATTTTATGAGAGCAGAAATAGAAATAACAATAAAACTAACTTTTCTACATGTATAAAAATGTATAATACATCATCCTGTACCTATACAAATTTTAAACATAAATTTACCCAACCCTGTTCTATAGTACATATTTACCATATTTATTTCAATAAATAAATAATAATTACTATTTAGCTAAAATATCCAAAATGTATATTTATTATACATAATATATTACCTATATAATATTACGTGTACTTATTATACTTGTATAAATAATATCCTTGTATTATTTCTGAATCATATGAATTAAACTTTATTTAAAAATTTTTATTTACAATAAGAAGCATTTAAATATTGAATTTATATTGAATTTATATTAAAAATATATTGTACCTATTTAATATATAATATATTTATATCTCTATTTTAGATAATTAGCTTATTAAAATTTAATTATAAAATCTTAAATTTTACTGTACTGCCATTCTACTTCACCATCAGTTACAAAATAATTTGCGTACTTATCCCTCACAGTTTGTGCAGTTTGTGATCCTCTTGTCATATTTGTGTTTTCTATATTTTCCAATCCTTGTACTGTTAAAGTATCATCATAACGATATCCATCTCTTGCCCTTACAAAGTTGTGTAAAATACAACAAGATTTGATTATATTTTGAGCCAAATCAAGTTTAACGTTTAATGGTCGATGAAAAATCCTCCATTTATTGGAAAGGATTCCAAATGTACACTCTATATATCTTCGAGCTCTCGACAGTCGATAGTTGAAAATTTTTTTTGTCACGGTTAAATTTTTTCCACCATATGGTCGCATTATATTTTCCGATAGACCAAATGCTTCGTCGCCTACTATTACATGTGGCATTGGTTCTTCATTTAATGTTGAAATTGGTTTTGGATCAGGAATATTCAAAGCATTCTTCATCATTTTTTTATAAAACATAGATTCTTTAAAAATTGAAGAATCACTACTCTTTCCATAAGCACCTACATCTATTGCTACAAATGAGTAGTTACTATCACAAACACCAATCAATACAATAGAAAAATAATGCTTGTAATTGAAATACATTGAACCAGTGTCAGTAGGCTTTATTACTCTGATATGCTTACCATCAACGGCGCCTATACAATTCGGAAAATTTGCAAATGTTTCAAATTTATTTGAAATTTCGAGCCACATTTGTGTTGAGGGTTGAGGCATAAATTCATCTTTTAATCTATTCCATATAGCCTCACAAACTTGAGCAACAAATCCAGAAATAGTAGAAATTCCAAGACGATATTCATGGTGTAATTCCGTAAAAGAACATCCACTGGCAAGATATCTGCGTAAAATTAAAACTAAATTAAATATACTTATCTAGTTGGTACTTTTGAGGGTTCAAAAGTTCAAAAATTCCTAAGTTTATACTAAAATTAAAATGTTGAATACATTTGTATAAAAATCCTTGTAATATCTCTCCGTTCAGAATATAACATGCATTAGGTAATATATACTTTTATATAAAATTATTCTTTTTTAGGGATAAATTTACAACGAAAATGGAAAAGTCTACGTGATTGTTTTTCTAGAGAGTTGGCCAGAGTTAAAAAACTTAAATCTGGGTCTGAAACTTCTAGAAAAAATCCTTATGTCTACTACAATCAGTTATTGTTCTTATTACCTATTATTCAAAATAAACCTACCGAAACAAATATAACAGCAGATGGTGATGAAAGTGGAGATGATTTAGGCGGTTCTTTTAATAGAAATGTATTGAATAATGAACCTAGTTCTAAGAAAAAAAAGGCTAATCCAAGAACTTCAGTTGAAAACGAAATAATTAGTGCATTACACAAGAGTGTTGAACTTCGTGAAGAACAAGCAAAACACTGCGAGGAAGACGCTGATAGATTGTTTTTGTTGTCTTTATTAAAGGATTTGAAACAAATACCCGAGCCTTTACGTTTTTCAGTTAAAATGGATTTAATGAAAGTAATAAATAATGCTCAAATGAATACGTATCCAGCTTCTCTAAATTTGTCTCATCCTCAACGACCTCAACAATATAATCTCAGCAGTCAAAATGTAATGTCTCATCCTCAACAGTATAATTTCAGCGGTCAAAATGTTATATCTTCTCCTCAGCAATTTAATCTCAGCGGTCAAAATGTAATATCTTCTCCTCAGCAATATAATCTCAGCAGTCAAAATATAATGTCTCACATTAATCAAGATCCATGTACAAGTCGTTCTATACATCAAACAAACCAACTATATTCAGATCCAAATTATCAAAGAGTTTTACAAAATCAGTTCAATAGTCAAATAAGACCTTCATCTGCAACACAGCATAATTCAAGTACTTCAACTCCACTGGCTTCACCAAACTACAATTCAACTGAAAATTCTACAGACTCATATATTGAGACAGATTTATTCAACCCAAACTTAACCAAATAGTAAAACTATGTCATCTAATTTTAAACCAGACAGTGTATATTTTTTTTTTATTTTAATATTTTTCATTTGTAATGGGTATTTTTATAATAATGTACTATATTTGGCATTAATCTTTCTCAAATAAAAATAAATCAGTAAGATCAATATTAGATGTCATAGTTTATTTATGGAGCTTGTACGTATATATAAGTATTTACTATTTATTAACCAAAATTATACTTTACCTTAAAGTTACGACTAATTTTTCGACAGGTGAAATACATTCTCTCATATTTGTTTGTTGACCCGTTAAATCTTCTCGAAGTTGTTCCATTAGTTCGTCAAACGAATTAATAGACATTCTTAAATAATTAAAAAATTTGTCTTCATATTTTCTTAAATCATTATAAAATAAATTAAATAGACCTTTAGTAGAACGGTCAGACAATAGTGGATGAACCCAAAACTTTCGATTTTTTTTTCGTCTGCGTACAACACGACTGTACAGATATGCTACACATGCTAGCTCTTCGACTTCCATTTTGGAACTGAACTAGGAGCTACTATGTAGTTCAGTATGTATTTTTGTTTGGTAATTTGTAGTGAAAACAACCTGCATCAAAACATACGAAACACAGAAGCGCTTCTGGAAGCATGAATAGTGGCGGTGCTTTTCTGGTGGCGCTGCCATGGTGGCGCGCTCTGGTGGCTTCGTGTGAAAGAGCCCTAAGTCGTGTGTAATGGCTGGTGGCTAAACGGCTCGCTCGGTCTTGGTGGCTCTGGTACATCTAGTTAGGCTGTCTCGCTGTCCCCTATATATATGGTGGCGGCGTCCTTTGAAGTGAGCGGCGCGTGTACAGTCGTCCTTGATATGGACCTCACGACTATGAAAGTGGTATTCTTAGTCGAAAACACTTTTGGGTGTGGTCGCATTCCTGGTTGTTTTTATGAGCAAATATATGATATTGCGTAATCCCATTCCTGGTTGTTATTATGAGCAAATACATGATATTGCGTAATCCCATTACAATATACCTATATTATTATTATTGTAACATTTTATTTATTTAACTATATTGTATTATTTCATTAGTTTGGCATCATTCCATTATAAAAAATAACATTGTAAAACTTAAAACTATGTTTGACTAAATTAATAATTGAATTATTTTGTTGATACCTATATTATTATTATTGTAACATTTTATTTATTTAACTATATTGTATTATTTCATTAGTTTGGCATCATTCCATTATAAAAAATAACATTGTAAGACTTAAAACTATATTTGACTAAATTAATTTGTATTTAAATTAATTATTGAATTATTTTTTAGATATATATCGTTATTATTATAACAGAAATAGGTTGACAGCAGCAGTTGCCAGGTCCAGGTAGAAATTGGTAGGTGGCGGAATCGATAGGTTGTTTTTAGACTACCTGAACTGGCGGAGTCGATACTGGCGGAATCGATGCTACATTGGCGGAATCGATAGGTCCCCCTTAAATATAAATGCTATATGAAATGCCTAAATATTACTCCTTAAAACATATCACACTCCAGCCACCTTAATATTAGTTCCTGGTAAATTTTTTTCTGGGGGTACATTCAAATTATTATTGCTTATTAAATTACAAAGTTTAGAAGATGCAAAAGTTCCACCATCGCTCTGTTTACCTCTGGTACCAACATCAACTATCACGATTTTTTTTTTTGCATCGGCAACTCTTTGTAAAACTAGGGAAAATATTTTAAGTAGTCGAAGTGACTTGATCCTGAATGTTTGGGACATTTAATTTGACAATGTTTCCTATCTATAGAGCCTATGCAATTTGGAAAGCCCCATTTGTCATTGCATTCTACACTAACTTTTTCCCAGTGTTCTTTTGTAGGAACTGGCATAAATTAATTTACGAGTTCTTCCCAAATAACTTGTTAGGTCTCGTGAATAATTTTAGGTATAGTGCATGCATTGAAAAAAAAGCCAGGTTCCGAAAAGAAAGATCACTTGATAAATATCTATGAAAATAACATAAAGTATTTTATAAGCATTTTTTGGATATTTTACGAACATTAAATTACCTCATTACAAATCATTTATTAAATTTATTTAAATTAATAAAAACAAATGTGGAACTCGCTCGTCTCGCTCTACTGTATAGTGGGTGCCGCGTGAACCTCACATTGAGTAGATCACTGTGAATTGTGATTGATGTATTAAATTTGACTTCAAAGATAAATCATTATATACGAGAAAATGATTCTGAACGGAGATGATTTGTCAACATATTGTATTTTATTTTATAACCTTTACATTGTAAATAATTAAATTTCTGTTATAAATACGAAAATGTTGACACGTTTTATTAAAATCTAATTTCAAATGCTCATTTAATGAAGTTTGTAAGTATTTGAAATATATTTATTTATTTATTTATTTGTTTATTTAACGCCAATCGGCAATTCAAGAGATTTACAATACAAATTATATACAGAGAATATTAAGTAACAATGTGATGGAGTAATCTTATATAAAAAACGAGGTGAAACATAGTAATTTACAGAGCAAACAACTAAATATTTAGTACAAATAAAAACATAACAATATAATGAAACTAAAAACTAACTAACTTAAGTAATATATACATTTAAAATATCATGATCTATTAGTTATTGAGCAGACGAAGCATTCTGTGTAAAGGATGGTTATGAGAGTAGTTGAAACGGTGAGAAGGGACAAGGAAAAGTGAGTGATTTCTAGTGTAATGTACAGGAACGCGGAAAGAGATAGAGGAAAGAAGGTCAGGGGCATCAACAGTGCCATTAAGAAGAGAGGTGACAAAGGAAAGGTCAGCCTCTATACGGCGAGAAGAAAGAAGAGGGATATTCAAGGAAGATCTAATGGATGAATAGTCATGGGGTGGGTGAACAATCTTGAGCAGAAAAGCAGCGTATGAGAGGAATCGATTTTGAACTCGCTCTAAGCGTAATTGGTCTTTAGCCAAATATGGATGCCATACAACAATTCCATATTCCAAAATAGAGCGGACAAGAGAGAAATAGAGGGAACGAAGACAAGTGGAGGACGTGAAAAGGCTAGTGTTGCGCTTTATGAAACCTAGGACTTTTAAGGCTCTACCAACTGTTATATTAATATGCTGTTCGAAAGAAAGAGATGGAGTTAGGTAGATACCAAGGTCTTTGACAGAAGAAACACGTTCGAGTGGGGAGCCATTGAGGGAATAAGGGAAGATAATATGTATTCGCTTTCTGTGGAATGTCATAGTATGGCACTTGTTGAGATTGAGCGTAAGGCCTATACGCTGAGTCCAGAGACAGAAGGAGTCGAGATCTGACTGAAGTTGACGGCAGTCGGAGATAGAAGCAACTTTAGAATAAATTTTAATGTCATCCGCAAATAGAAGGACTTTGGAGAATGAAAGGTAATTGTTAATTGAGTTAATAAAAATTATGAACAGTAGAGGACTAAGATGTCCTCCTTGAGGGACTCCAGAAGGAGTTATAGACAAGTCAGAGGTAGCACCATGGATTTTCACAAATTGCATTCTTGGACTGAGATAAGATTGGAGCCATGATAGTAAAGGGTTCCCAATACCGAGTGATTCTAGTTCAGAGATAAGATGGCTATGGATAACCGAGTCAAAAGCTTTACTAAAGTCAGTGAACACGGCATCCACTTGGCAATCGGACTCAAAGCTCTCCAGAATATACGACGTTAGAGCTAGGGTACAGGTGGTAGTAGATTTCCCAGGACGGAAACCATGCTGGTCAGCCACTAATATATGGTTAAGACTTCTTTTGATATTAGTGTATACAATGGACTCAAGTAGTTTTGAAATGTGGGGAAGAATAGAAATAGGCCTGTAATTAGAAACAAGTGAGGGATCACCAGATTTAAAAACAGGGGTAACAGAGCTGGTCTTCCACACAGCAGGAAAAATACCTTCATCGAGTGATTGTCTAAAGAGCAGAAATAAAGGGTAAACAATGGAGTCTTGACAGTTAAAAAGTAAACGTGCAGAAACACCATCAGGACCATTGGAATTGTTATTTTTTAGGGAGTTAAGTGCAAGTTGCCCATCATCAAGAGTAATGAGGCAATTAGAAGGAAGTTCGTACGGATATCTATTATTTGTAAGGGGATTAAAAGGTGGAGAAATAGAGGGATTATACATGGAATAGAAGTACTTAGATAACAATTGGCAGAATCACGAGGATTATCAGCCGTAGTGGTATCCCAACGTAAGGTGGAGGGTAGCGTGTTGTGCTTACTGAGATTTTTAGTATACTTCCAAAAGGAAGAGGGGTTGTGAGTGAGCGAGTATTCTGTATGTCTTATATATGACTGATAGTCTATCTTAGAAGTGTGTTTACATTTCGCACGCAGCTCAGAAAAAGCTAAGTAGTCGCATGGCAACTTAGTCCTCTTAAAAACTGCATGGGCACGCTTTTTCTTTAAAATAAGATTTTTAAGTGTGGGAGAGGTCCAGAGAGGAAATTTTGGTAACTTGTAAATTTTTGTAGGAACAAACAACTCAATGGAATGAAGCAGGGCTTCATTAAAAATAGAGGCAGCACCGTCGATTGAATATTGTGAAAAGGTAGACTCCCAGTTAAATGAGTTAAAAAATTGCGATATACCAGAGTAGTTTGCATTTTTGAAGTCTTTATAGGTATGGGTGTTATCTGCCACATTATCAGATTGGAAAGGAAAGATTATGTGAAGAGGCGGGTGATAAGGGTCAGGAATAACAAGTGATTCAGTTGCTGTACTGCTAGTGACTTTATTGGAGTTTGAAAAAATAAGATCTAGAATGCTGCCATGACTATTAGGAAGGAAGTTATGTTGAAAGAAATTTAAGTAAGAAAAAGAGTCTATAATAGATGTGGTAACCATATTGTGATCACTTGTGGCAATTAATCCTAGTTCATCAGATGACCATGTAACATTAGGTAGATTGTAGTCACCACAAAGGATAACTGATACAGATTTATAGGAGGATATGATTTGCTCAACAGAAGCAACGTGGGATTCAACTACAGGAAGAGGAGAGTGTGGAGGTAAATAAACACCACCTACCAATAAATAATTAGAGTTGAAGGACAGTAAGGCAAATATTTGCTCAACATTCGAGGTACTTAATGTAATAGGATGGTATTTAATGGAATTATTGATGGCAATTAATACTCCACCTCCTCGGAGAAAAGAACTGTTGTTTGGATTTCTATCGAGTCTAATCACCTGAAAGCCATGAAAACCTAATTCACTATCACTTATGTCAGGTGTTAGCCAAGTTTCAGTGAGGATAATGACGTCATAAAAGTTAAACATTGGGAAGGAACATCTGAGATTGACTAATTTGGTTTTTAGGCCACGTACATTTTGATAGAATATTTTTAGATTGGAATTAAGGGCTTTATTACATAACTTATTGCTTTTAGTATTAGGATTATCATCTGGTTTAGAAAATGAAGTTTTAAAGTTATTAAAATACAATACGAAGGGTTTTAAAGTTTGTTGAGCTGAGTGGCAGCGCGTACAGTAAGACGATTGAGATTTAAAGTTATACATACAGTTGTGGTGTAGATCTGAAAGACATGAGCAGTAGTAGAAGAAGGCTTTGTTCGAAGCAGGAGGCGGTTGATTAGGCAGTGGCAGGTCGGTACTTGTTAGTTTTTTGGATGGACAAATGTAGAAGTAGACGCATGATGGCGTCTGGTCTGCGATGACCGAGAAAGTGGCACAATGAAGGGGAATCCATCTCTGTAGTTGATCGTCAGGTCAGTTTCTCCGTTCTTTTTACGGTTTTCCAATTCGGTGTATACTTGACGGATAGACTCTCGTTCAAGTGGGGTGCGATCACGGGTCATAGTGACAGAACGAGGCCTGCTGTCAGGGGGAAGGCCTCTGGCATTTTTATTGAAGTCAGAAACTAGTTTGAGAGCTATTTCTTTGGAAGAGAAGAATACCTTGAGAGGTCTCGGACCCCTATCATTAGGTTTGCCAAGTCTGATTGACTTGAGATTAGCAACTGCTTCAGGAAAGTATGGGTCGATTATCTCAGCTATTTTCGAAGTGTCATCTGAGATTCTTTCTTCTATAACAGAAGATGACGATTCCTTTAATCCACGAATAATGACATTCCGAGAGCATCGCTCACGCTCGGAGATCTCTTGAAGAATGCTAGGGACAGTGCTAGCCGAAAAAGTAGGACGACAACTGTTTGCCGCTTCAAGGTCTTGGATACGCTTGTTGAGATTAGAGATGTTCTCACGAAGATTGTCATTGTCTAATTTTAAGTCCGCCACCTGAGTTGACAGATGACTAATGCTTTCTTTCAGCTCAGTAAACTTAGAACTTTGGGATTCACATAGTAGTTTACATTGGTCCAGGGTTTCAATTTGAGTTTTTTGGTGCTCAGCCATAGTTTTGTTAAAAACATCTAAGGTTAGTAGAGCGGCCGTTTTGGCACGAGTAGCAACTTGGGAGACAGCATTTGGAGTCGTCGGGGGCATAGCTCAGCAAAAACGAACGTCACAAATTAACCTGTTCCTTTAAGAGAGAAGATGCAACCAAAGTTACAGCGATGCGTGCGGAATGAAAAGTAGTACTATTACTAATACTAATAAAGTTTGTATCCACGCGTCAAAGTCTCCAAGAGAACGGAGGTGAAGAAACAGCTGATACGTAATCAGCCAGACTAGTCCAAACAATTGTTGATAAGAAGTAGACTGTACTCACGATAGTTCTCTGTCAGAAAGATGAGTGACAATTTTTTGACTGTTCCACTGCAAAATATAGATGGATAACACGAACGAGGCTTGAGAGAGTTTAGACGTACAAGCAAAAACACTTCAAGTGAAGAAAAACACACAAATACTCCAGAAAAAAAAATATACTTTATAGAGAGCAGTAGGTACTTGTTATCACGGTATCACGTTTTTTATACTTATTAAAAAATATTGCGCCAATTAATGTAAGACCAACTTATGTAGAACTTTGATTTTGAAAAAATTACAAATTCAAATGCTCGATAACATTTTTAAACTGAACAAATCTTGATATTTGTAAGCAAAACTTATGGACATCCTTGTATTAAATTTTCAATACAAAAAATGAATACAAAAATAATTATAAATTTTTAACTACAAAATAATTTGCAAATACTGGCGATTTCGATGATTAATACTGTAATTTTGACCATTTTTATAAAAATTCTAATTTCCAATGCTCATTAAAAAATGTTGACAATATTGAACTTCAAAAGCTTCTAAAAAAAAGTTGATTCTATGTATTTGAATAATAGTATAATACTTATAGAGAATCATGTACTACATTTTCAATTCTTAGCTATGAATATTTATAATTACTTATACTTTTTTAATAAGAACTAAAGTCTTAGGTTCTTGAGTAACAGCCAAATAAAAATATCGGTTCAGTCGAAAACTGGTTTTATACCAAAATTCCCGATTTAATCTATTTTTTTTTAGTTTTTCCTGGTGCATTTGAAAACTACTCAATTTTTTTTACTTTTGACCCACCCGCAAAGTACCAACTACATTCACTTTGCAACCAGAAACCACCATTGATTTTAGATTCTGGACTGAGTGATGAATGTATTGATTTTATATAATTTTTTAATGATCCTTTTTATTTATGAATAATAAAACAAAATAACCAATTAAATGAAATATAATTATTAATCGCTATTAATCAGTCCTCCGATTCAACAGATTATCGATTGTTTACACTAAATACATTTTTATTCTTACCTAATTATTAGTTTATAATAATATTTATTAATTAATAATTATTAACCTTATTGTGGTAATACGTGGCCATGTGGTAAGTACTTATCACAGATATAAGGAATAAAGATGACGTCGGACCGATAGTCAGGATATCTTCAACATCTCACACACCGATCAATCGTTTGATCAATCGTGCCGAAACGTTTTTGGATAATATCTTAATAAAGAGTTTCATTTATATAATTATTCTGTTGTTTTATCCTCCTCGTCATCTACGCCACTAACCATTTCATCCTGACTCATAGAAGTTAACTTAAGAGGCTTTATAATATAATTATTATATTCTAACATTCATTGCATTCGATGTTTGTAACAAAAGTATTTTTTTTTAAATTATCATAGAAAATCGCAAATGTTTCTAGTAAATAATTACGAACTTTCTGTGGTCATGTACTTCGCGACTATAGAGGCAGCGTTCTATAATCATACTTACATCACCAATCAGCAGACCACGCCATAGGTCGAAACTATAATAGTTACCTAGTAGGCGCGCACGGTTTATAAATAACCAAATAGTCAATAATATGAAAATTTTTTAAATTTATTTTTTCTCTAAATATCAATACAATTTTATTTGTTGGGTGAAAAAGCTTGAACATTTAATAGAAAGCTCCTAGTATTGTTTTAAAGGCAGCTGAAAAATATTATAAATACTCGTACACTCACAATTTTTTTTTATAAGCATTTAAAGTTTGAATTTTGACAAAATACGTAAAAACCACGGAAATGTGGAAAATATTCTAAGTTAGAAATTCATAAAAAATTGTAATACAAGAGTCCTCTTTGTCTACCTTTATCAAGAAGAAAATGTCTACAAGAAAATCAAATCAAATTTTCATCAGTGTTGGAATTTCATAATATACAACATTTGATATTCACTCGATTTCTCATGTAACGATTTTCTTATTTTGTTGTAATTCAAAAACGAATGACTATAGATACATGAAAATTTTACTTTATTATGTTTATTTTAAAATTTCCTGTAGGTACTTGATAATATTTTCAAAATATTTTACTAGTTTTGAGCTTTTGGCAAACATTTTTCATTTTTCATTTTCAATATTTTATTTTTTTTCTTACAAATTGTATTGATCACTTGATTTTTATGAATAACCTGTTTGTTATTAAAACTATTTAACATTTAATACTGAATAACATATTATTTATTAGTATAAATTAATTATAAGACAACTGACAGGCATACATTATTAATTATTATACAACATGTGTTTTATATTGAGTGAGAGAGTCTGATAAAATGAATCGCTATTTTGTGGTTATGTTACCTATTGATAACAGTCTGGTTCAGTTATCAAACAGCTCCTTTTTTTTTATATATACAGTAAAACCTCGTTAAGACGCTCCCGTTTAATACGCCATCCCGCTTAACACGCGGATTTTTCCCGGTCCCAGGTAATTGTACACTTTTAACATTGAAAAAAAGACGCTTAATACGCCACCGCATATTACGTAATCCCGCATAATACGCTCTAATTGCTGGCTTCTCAAACATTTTAAAATAGAAAAAAACCCAATTAATACAATCAGCGATAAGAATTTCGTTGAAACGTTTATCTATTATCGACCGAGTAATTGATATTTATTATTAACATCTTGATGTGGTTTATACTCTTACTATATTTCGTTAGTACGTACGTACGTTAGTTATATGATCGGACGTTGAAGTGTACACGTGAAATCACACGCAGATTTATAATTTGTATGTTTTGTTTATTGTTATTCGTGTGTGGTTTAAAATGACGAGTGCGTCTACGTCATCTAGTAGTGCCGGAGTGAAAAGGAAAGCTTTGTCTATTGACGATAAATTGAGAATTATTAAACTGTATGATGAAAAAATTGGTGTATTCAATAAACAACAAATTGCCGACCAATTAGGATTGCCCTCCTCTTCGTTGCGGACCATATTGAAGAACCGGAAAGAAATTGAAAAAAACGCTTTTTCTATAACGCTATCCCGCATATTGCGCGGTTTTACGATTTCCCCTTCGAGAGCGTCTTAACGAGGTTTTACTGTATATAATATTATTAGTTTAAAATACATAATCATTTCAGCATTAATGATAATAAATTTTTTTTTTCTTCTTTTATACAAGAATAACAAGATACTTAATAATTTAAACATAGTTATATTACAAGGTCTAATCATTTAAACATAATTGAGTCTAATGGGTTTTTTAACTGTTCTACCTGACTTTGTTATAACTGTGGTGGGTGTTGGTATTTTACTATTTTTATATGTTTCCTTTTTAAATATTGTAGGTATTGTTTGGTTTTTTGTTTGCTCCTCATTAAACTCTAACTCTTTTCTTTTTCTTATATTTATTACATTTCTTCTAAGAATTGTGCCATTTTCTAGTTGCACTGAATAAGATCTTGGACTTTTAAGTTTTTCCATTACTAGGTACTCCTTTCTCCCAAAACTTGTTTTTATAATTTTGTATTTTATATTTTATATTTTGAATTTTATATTTTATCACCCACATTAAATTGGATTTCTGTTTTAGAAGAGTTTTTATCAAAATAGTTTTTTTGTTTTTGTTTATTTTTATCATTTGTTCATAAGCATTAATATTCAATTTTGTTGTTACTTCATCAATAAAAGTTGGTAGTTTACTTCGCAATTTTCTGTTCATTAAGAATTGTGCAGGTGAAAAATCTAAATTAGCTACATTACTATTTCTGTAATTTAAAAGATAAAGATCTATGTCATGACCCTCTTCTACATGGAACCCACATTTTAAACAGATTAGAAAAGTTATTTGAAATTATACTTTATCACTGTGAGGGGTGGGGTACATGTCTTCGAATGTCATGTGTTCGAAGGTCATGTTTTCGAATGACGAGTGTTAGAAAAGTTATTTGTTCGAATAGTAATGTAATCGAAAAATTATTTGTTCGAAAAATATATGTTCGAAAAGTTGTATGTACGAAAATTATTTATTTAAATTAAAAAGCTATCTGACATTATAAAAATTAATAAACATAAAACTAAAAAAAAAATATTTGGAAAAATATACCTATGCAGTTTTAAATCAATAATTAAAAACTTAAATTAAATGCAATTGCTTTTAAAAACTCCTAATAAATAAGTCACCGTTCGATGTATCAACAGAACAAATATTTGCTCCACATTTAGTTGAACATGTCCAGTAAAAAACGTTTCGGTCATCGCGTTTTCATTTATAATTTTTATTTAATATGTATAAAAAATTATTTACACTTAATACTTTACTTCCGTGTATACTTTTTATAACTTCTATAGAACACATTTTATTCAAATAAAGAGACAAATTACATAAAACGTATTAAATTCGCAACAAACTAAGCTTCAGTACAGAATACAATCGCATTTTGTTTTATACTAGACCACACCACAATAGTCATTACTAATAAGCTATAAGCAATGTTATCTAGTATCTACTATCTATTATCTTTATTACTTTTATTCAACGATATTAATCGGGTACGTCGATAAAATTTTCGTTTAAAAAAAAAAATAATATTTCGTACATACAACTTTTCGAACATATATTTTTCGAACAAATAATTTTTCGATTACATTACTATTCGAACAAATAACTTTTCTAACACTCGTCCTTCGAAAACATGACATTCGAAGACATGACCCGCTCCCCACTATAAGGCGGTATAAAATCGAACACGACTTATAAAAGACCGTGAGAGTGCGATTCCGACTCATCCCTTCATTATTATATACTTATTATTATATTAAGTTATAAACCCCAACATTTGTATTTATTAAGTCGCACCTCTACAGGTCCGATACCGCCCGTTGCGGCTCTCTTCTATAAGCCAACCGCTCGGCCCGGAAACTAAATCCCTTCTATTAAATATATATATATTACATCTCACAATAAATAGACGAAATTGTACATAAAGATAACACGTGTACAGTTACTTACGGTCACTGGACGTCGGGAATCGACGGATCGTATCAAATGTGTTTCTAAATATAATTTCAATCTAGTTACCTATTAGATTATCCAATGGAATTTTTGAATCTGTGAAAGCTTTTATCATCGAATAATTTTTGACCAGTGGCTCCTTTGTCTACACTTTTCACATCCTCAAACAACTGAACGAGCTTAAAAAATTTTGTTTCAAAGTGATCGGATGAACTGTCAACATATTTAACACAAATACACATAGTTTTCACACAGCCAACATCAGTGCTCTCGTCAATAATAACATTGAAAAGTGTATTCTTCAAAACATTTGTTAGTTCTTCATGGGAATAAAGTCCTATTACATTGGACATTGTACAATTGATTTTGTACGACCCAGAGATATATTGGAACAAATTTTTGAATCTGGGAATGCTGCCTTGCATGTTTTTACCAAATGATCACTTATATGAAATGGCAAATTGTGTTCACTTATAAAACTACAAAGTGAAATTTCTGATTTTTTAGTTTGGTCAACTAATTTTAATTGATCAGCATTATTTATAAAAGTAGTTATTGAATGTTGCTTGCTTCCAACACTATTTACAGAGCTTTGTTGTTTTTTCGTAAGAGCATGCTTTTAATTACACTTAATTCAGCAGTCATTTCTGTAATATATAGTTTACACTTAGCTAATAACTTATTACTATTTATTTGCTGTATTTTTTATCGGATAACTATTCATGTCTAAAGTTCTGTTTCTTGTGAGAATACGTTTTGGAACTTTCACCTCGTTTGCGTTTAGTTTTTTCTGGCGTCGAACAGCTATCACTTTCGATTTCACTCCTAACGACAGTAAAATTAACGACAGAAACATATACAAAAATAACGAACTATAAACATTAACAACGGATTACGGAATAACGCCAATTGAACTGAACGGACACCACATCGTATAAACAAGAATAATAATTAATATAATATGCTGAATCGTTTCTTAGAAATTTTTCATTGTACAATGAATTGAATTAGGGAGTATGGACTATGGACTGAGGTCGAGCCAAGACTCGTAGTCGTAATATCCGTGGTTTGTATCAATTATATTATGCAGTGAAATATTATAACTTCTTTATTATTATTTTTCATTATTCATATTTAATAAAATTGTAAAATACTAAATTAATGTAAAATACATATATCTAAAAAAAGATCGTATTCTTTATGACCCACCAAAAGGTTTGATACCTGTCTTTAAATTATCGTATTTCCCCACCAATATTGGCAGCACTGCCCCCGAGTCTGCATAAGCCGGACGGTCCTTAAACGCCATCAGACACGGAAATGCAATAAGTTCAACCCAACGACTATTATTTCGTTTACCGAATAAAGTCGCCTTCCTGAATGCCCTTTCGCGCCGCTACCGTTCGAGTCAAGCCGCCGAAAACTCGCGTTCACCGTTAAGTTGTATTTCGCCGCCGCTGTCAGAGCCGAGCCGCCGATACGTGGATATATTGTACCCAGTAGTGAAGACATCGCCAAAGACGAGCCACCGCTGACCAATACATCACATCGAAAACGTCGATTGTCACGTCCAAGCCGCCGCTACAGACAACGACCAGTGCCAATCCAATCCGAGGGCGTCACCAAGTTACTCTGATTTCACTTGGAGATCATAAGGGACCATTTCCACACGTTGTTCAAAAATCATGAACTACGACAGCAATCAGGTGCAACCAACTTCCAGAAAACAACCGTAAGTTGTATGTGAATCCATTCACACCATTCTATGTAAATTCCCTCAATACTTATTTTTATTGTAAACTCTTCGGAGTAAAAAAACTTTACATTCAAAAGAAAATAATGTAAAAGAGATAATGAAAACAATGTTGTAATCATACATATCAATAAACATCATTCAATCAAACTAACAACTTGTGCTTCATTACACCGTTTCACGACATATTGCAGCAACGCGTCGCGCTGGTTGTTGCATTTGTCTGTGCCTTATCGTAACACATTACGATGGCAGTTTATAATCATTTAAGATAACTATAATATACAATATAATAATATAATAGTATATATTTTATAGTTTATATTTGGCCGTTTTATATTTATTTGAAAATCAAGTGAAATGTTTTAAATCGTATACCAGATATCGACCTATCTATTTACATTAACTGACACAAATCAAGGTGTTCGCTCCGTGTGATAACAGAATTGCCGCCGTCGGTGGTCACGCCATAGATAATATAAGAATGGATAGGACATGCCTATACCAGTTCCATATGAGGCCGTGTGCTTTTTTGGGGAAGAGAGAACGTAAAGAGAGAAAGACTATATGAGGCTTTTTAAGGTTATGTGCAAAACTATTTTATTAAATAATAATAATAATAACATGATAGTCAGTTATATTTAGATATTTGTCAGTTTGTATTTTGATTGTTGTGCCACCTGTGCCTGGAAAATGGAATTAGGAAAATAATATTTTAACAAAATGAAATTATATAAATTTTATTTATTATTATTTATCAATTATCATATCAATATTTGCCTTATATAACCTTAAAAATAGTATCACTAAATTTTCATGTGATAAGCTCTTATGCCCTATCCATTCTTATATTATCTATGGGTCACGCTCGACCGACCGCCGCAGTAACTATGTTCGTGGGCGCTGCGCGCCGGCAGCCGCAATGTTGGCAACACTACCGGTGACCGTTAGTCGTTACCGGCGCTCGGCGCAGGCGAGCTCAGTCGTCCGCGCCACTCTCCTGTTTAACGAGTACACGACAGATTCGTCTTTACGTTTGCTCTTCTCGCTCGTCCGTCAGCCATTTTTCCCCGTTTGGGAATTGCTACGGAAAACGTGTTTTTTAGTTTTTACACATCGCGGTTGTTCGGCCGATTAGCTCGTGTTGCTTATTTTATTGACTGTCGTCGTCCAGTCTGTGATTCAATCTCGAATCGTTAAGCTCGTAACAACCAGCTCCGAGTAGCTTTACCTACTCTGAATAATACTTCGCGTCCACGTACGCAGTTGAACGCTCATCGATCCACAACACGACGGTGCATACGCTCGCACCAGTGTTCCAGTACAGCAGCTCAAGACATCTGCCAGGGAGGCAGCTCAGTCGGTGATCCTCGTTTCCCCCGTATTAATATTGTAATATTGTATAATATTTAATTACCTACTGCTCATGTGGTATAATAATACATGCGCCTGATAGTCAGAAACCTATGTTATTATTTAATCATATAAATTGCCTTACTCTACAACCGTCCTGAGGACCTCTACCGGGCGATATCTGGTCTTAAGGGGATTCGATCCAGCGTATTTATTTCATGATTTAGACCTAAAAGCCTGACAAAAATACGCCTACTTAGAATTATCAGATTTCAATTCTGTAAAAAGATTCGAGTTCATTGACAATTTTCCTAGGTTATTGTGGGAATCAATTTTCGATATTTTTTTTAGAATTCACGTTAAATCATACTTCGATTTCTCAATTTTTTGAAAATTGTTTGTGTCTTTCTTTAAAAAGTTAAACAGTTATTCAAAAATCGACTCCCACAATAACCTAGAAAAAAGAACGATGAATTCAAATATGTTTACAGAACTAAAATCCGATCATTCTAAGTTATCGTATTTTTGTCAGGCTTTTAGGTCTCAATTGATTGAAATTAGTTTCTCGTTGGAACAAATATTTTATTATGTGACATGTGCATGCGGGTGCGAACCACTGATTCCTAACGTATCTACGCACACTAATGATCATTTACTTCTCACACAAACACACTGCGAAACGATTATAATACATCGAATTGCCTATACACGACCCCTTATTAAATCACCGGATCGAATCCCCTTAAGGATCGCCGGGTCATCATTTTTGGTAGCAGAGCGTGGTTGGTTGGTTTATCAACATCTGGTACTCTGGATTCGCGTGAGTAATGCATTTTGTTTTTAGTTTTGGCGTATGAGTATAAGGTGTGTACATTTATTTATCCTTTTCCTCACTCATATCGATAGTAGGTACTGTTCAGCAAGAAGACAGTAATTAACTCAACCGACTGTCCAGTCATTAATTAATTGTTTTATTTTTTGCTAATAATATAAGTCAGATTTATTATTTAGTGTTGGGTTTTATTTACTGCATTCGTGCTCAAGCGTTTACTTCTGTAGTAACGTTATTCAATTTGAATTTACTTTCAATATTACATGTTTATTAGACGGTGCTCTCTGGGTTAAATTATTTATTGTTTTATTTATTGTATTATGTATGGGTATTAACTAGTATAGGTTGTTCACTAGTTGCTGGTCTTTTCTTTTTTTTTTTTTTTTCCCGTTTAGATCGAGGACCGGAGAAGGAACCGCGTTAGCATTACTTCTCCTCCGGACCCCATCGTTTATTGTACATAAAAAACAACATATTTAATTATACAATAACTGCGTCCTGGACGCGTTCCCACACCTCCGCCTGGCAATCCTTCCTCAGCGATTGCTGGTTTGATATGCGACTGCCAGGGGGTTATATATTGTTATACAGGTAATAAAAAGCTATAAAGTGCTTAAGGCATGGGTTGAGTCGGTGGAGCCTTCGCGGCCCGACATACAGCCCACCGGCCTGGGGTCTCGTTCTTGCCTCCGTCTTCCCGACCCGGCTGGATGCCCGCCGGTCTCGTGACCAGTTCTGTCCTTCCTCCGGCTTTTTCGCGGCCCGGTGCTACGGCCCGCCGACCTGGAGATCTCGTGCTGTCCGGGGTCCCCGATGTCCCTCTTTCCGGATAGGGTTTCCGGTTGAGAGAGCTTGTGTTACGGGCGTTGGCGGGCTCCTATGCCGGCCGCTTGCCTTGCTCTCTCCTCCGCCTCCTTCAGGGTCATGATGTTTTCGACGAGTTTATAGAACAGCCTGAAGGACTCCTCGGCGTCGCGGAGGAGGTTGCACCTGGCTTCGACGTCCTCGGGGAGGAGAACGAAGTCGGGTCCACACAGCAGGTCTGGTAGGTCCTACGCGCTCGGGGGGTGCCCGAGGTGGGAGCGGAGCTCGTCCCGGAGGTCGTTCCAGCGGGGGCATGCGAATAATGTGTGCTCGGCGGTGTCTTCACGGGAAGGGCAGTGCCAACACCCTGCGTTGGCCGCTCTCGCCATTCCTAGTTGCTGGTCTAGTTAGCACCTACCTCATTGGTTATACTATTTAATTGGGTGGTTTATTATTATTATGTTGTCATGCTATTGACATCTGAGTTTTAACAGGGCTTATCACTCACCCTTAGTGCAGTAGCTCTAAATTGCATTATTACATAGTTTAGGTGTGCGTCGTGGGTCGTGCCAAGGATCAGGTATTGTACTATCACACAATATATTATTATTTGATTATTTGTTTTATATTATCCACTCTATGTTTCTCAATTGAGGGTTTTATAGTGCAGATTTGGTTGTCTAACTTGTTCATGGTTAGTATAATTAATTTTAATATTATATTTAGTACTGCGTTGCCTGGATACACCTGAGTTCTATTCAAGTTTAAATTAATTAGGTGCTCCCCTGTTGTTTGGACTAGTTTTAACTGTTAATAGTTATGATATTGTTTGTGGGCTAGTGATTATTTTGCCGCTTGCTTAGTTATTGCCTACATCATAGTCAACGCTTGTTTATATTTCATTAATTGACTCGTTCATGGTCTTTTTATAGTGCTCATTCGGTAGTCATTTGTTTGTTCATTGACTTTTGGGCATCGTTGATCAACGTTTGTACTGTGTGATACCAGTATTAGTAATCTTATTGTTTGTGCTTGCTTTTGATCATACCCTTGAAGTGATATTGACTTCAACTAGCAATTTGTTCTCGCTCTAGTTCAATATTGTTAGTCTCTGGCTTTGTAACTTCTTGGTGCAGTCAATATAATGGCTGGGGAACGTGATGCTCATGCGAAGGAGCGTGCATTCCTGCGTAGGGAACAAGTCATCGCTCGAATTCGCCAGATACACATATTGGCCACAAGCTCAGCCACTGATGAAGCTAGTAGAGCTCAACCAGCTGTGGCTATTGTCGATATTGATAGCTTGTGGGCCAGCTTTGTTGTTGAGAACAATAATCTTCTAGACATACTTACGAATCGTATTTGTTGGGGTAGTTTTCTATGAACTTAGAAACTGAGACCCGTGCTTTGGTGGTAGAAGCTAAGGCCTTGTACAAGGCATCTCAACCAACTCCAGCTTTTAGCGTCAGTATGGTTCAACAAGTATCGTATGAGGGTATAATTGACCAAGCATGTTCCTCTGCTGGGGGGTCGTCCAAGGATTGCCCAGCTCCCTATCCTCCGTTGGCTGTGGCACCTATGAGGTTGCCTGAAATCAGTTTGCCTACTTTTGATGGTGAATGCCAGAACTGGCCAGCCTTTAGGGACATGTTCGTCAATTTGGTGGCTAACAACGATAAGATCCCGAATGTTACCAAGTTCTATTACCTGGTGGGGTGTCTGCAGGCTGATCCGCAAGAAGTCATTAAGGGATTTTCGATATCGAGTGAGTCTTTTACTCTTGCCTGGGACGCATTGATCGAACGCTACATTAAACCGCGCAGGTTAGCATCGTCAATAATTGATAAGTTAATAGCCGCTCCCGCCGCGAATTCTGAAAATTTTGTAGTTCTGCAGACCTTTATGTCGGTTTTCGACGAAAACATCACGATCCTGGAGTCGCTCCAGATCCCGGATCTAGCTTCGTTTCTGTTATTTTCATTGGCTGCTTGGTGTTTATCTACATTCTTGAGGCGTCTTTTCAAGGCTGAAAACAATGAAGAATATCCGTCGATCCAGAGCGCGATCAAGTTCGTTAAAACGAGAATCCAGATTCTTGAAAATGAAGGTGTACAACCGGCAGGAAGCTCCTCGAAGTCGGCCAACCTCAAGAAAACTGGTTTCCGTCGGGAATCGAAGACCGCATTAGTATCGACGTCCAAACATTCCTCGACCAAACCTACTTCGGCGTCATGTTAAGTTTGTTCCGGTGCTCACCAGCTAGCTGATTGCGCGAAATTTAAGGCTTGCTCGGTCGATGAACGCTACAAGGTGGTGTGCACGCATCGCCTTTGCATAGTCTGTTTGATTCACGGGCACATGTCGTTTAAGTGTTCCTCTTCGTGCTCCATATGCAAGAGGCGCCATCATGCGCTACTACATCGAGATCAGGAACCGTCGAAATCCGCTCCTCCGGCTGCCATATTAGGCCGCCAACAAGATCCAACGGTCTTGCTCGGGACCTCTTTGGTACATGTACGAGATACAATTGGCAGTTGCCAGACCGTGCGTGCTCTGATCAATTCGGCTTCGCAGATCAGTGCAATCACATCGGCTTGCTGTAACCGTTTGGGATTACAGCCCTCGCGATGGACAGTACCTGTGACTGGTCTTTCCGGCCAGAAGGTTCCGGATGTGCAGGGTATTGTTCAGCTGACGATCCACCCAAGGGATAAGCCAACGCCAGCGATCCAGGTCAAGCCTTGGGTACTCTCTACCATCACGTCAGATATGCCAGCTCGACAACTGACAGTTCAGGTACGAGCCAAATGCAGCCACCTGATGTTGGCCGACCCAAGCTTCGATGAGCCAGCTCCAGTTGACTTCATTGGCGCGGATATATTTCCCCAAGTATGGAAGAACAAGTGCAGCTCGCTGGGTCCAGGTTTCCCTTCCGTTTACAGCTCAGTATTTGGTTGGGTGCTAATTGGTCCCGTTCAGGAGCACCCAGATATTGGCGCACAAGCCATGTTGGTGTCTCTAGTATCGTCCATGGAATCCATCATGGAAAGGTTTTGGAAGGTGGAGGAACCTGAAGCTGCTCCGCCTCAGTTCACCGAAGACGGATTGTGTGAAGAACTGTTCAATTCAGAGATGCGCAGGGATTCCCGAGGTTGGTTCGCGGTCGCCCAGTTAAAGATTTTCCGGGTTCACGACAAGTGGCGTTAAACAGATTCCTGCAGCTGGAGAGGAAATTATCAGCCGATGAAGTCCTTTACAATGCATATCGCAAGTTCATGCTCGATTACTAGAGCCTAGGTCATATGACTCTCGCAGAAGGTCCCGGTCAATACTTCATTCCCCATCATGCGATTTAGAAGTCCGAAGGGGACAGTGTCAAATTGAGAGTGGTGTTTGACGCGTCGGCGAAATGCCATTCAGGTGTCTCTCTCAACCAATGTTTATTGGTCGGGCTGAAACTGCAGCAGGACATCGTGGATGTTCGGATTGGATTCTGCGTACACAAAGTGGCCTTCACTACTGATATATGCAAGATGTATCGCCAGATCGAGGTGCTGCCTCAATATCGGGGCTACCAATACAACCTGTTTAGGGATACGTCACCAGCATTGCTAAAAGAATATACACTTAATACAGTCACGTATGGAGTAAATAGTGCGCCCTATTTAGCGTTACGGGTCCTCCGCTACATCGCCGAAACGGAATGTGAACATTTTCCGGATGTGAAGGGAACTCTGCACCATCAAACTTATATGGATGATATATGTGTGGGTGCGGAGTCGTTGGAAGCCGCTAAAACGCTTCAATCGAATCTAATCAACACTCTCGCCAGATCCGGTTTGGAGTTGAAGAAATGGGCAAGCAATACTCCAGAATTGCTGGAACACCTACGTCCGGAAGATTGCTCTGAAAATCCGCTAGCATTTGAGCAAAATGATGCTACGCACGTATTGGGGATGTGGTGGAATCACGATCAAGATTATTTCTCCTTCAGCATATTTAACAATTCCAAAATGATCCCTACCAAACGTGGATTGCTATCCATGATCTCCAGAATTTTTGATCCATTAGGACTGTTGGCGCCAGCAACATTCTATGCCAAGTCGATCATGCAACGTGTGTGGGTCGCACAGATTGGTTGGGACGATCAACTTCCATCGGATATAGCTGAGGATTGGTGTGATTTCTATCAGTACTTAGGCTGGCTTGTCGGAATTAAGATTCCACGATACATCGGCTGCTCCGCTGGATGTAGCTATGATTTGTGCGGTTTCTCTGACGCGTCCACGAAAGGATACGCAGCGATTGCTTACCTTCGTGCCACGACCAAGTCAGGAAGTGTTTTTGTCTATCTTCTCGGGTCCAAAACGAAGTTAGCTCCAATGAAAACATCCTCAATTCCACGGCTCGAATTGAGTGGAGCAGCAATTTAACACGTGGTGAGGAAGTTACGCTTAAAGGGATTGCTCGCCTTTCTCCGTTCTTGGACTCATTCGGGGTAGTTCGTGTAGGAGGTCGTCTTCAAAACACGAATTGGTCCGAACGTCGAAGGCATCTGATGCTGATACCGAAGGAAGCTCACTTGGCGATGCTCGTTACTCGCCATTGGCATAGCTACGCGTGCCATGCCTGTCCGCGGTTACTAACCACACTCGTTCAGAGGCGTTTCTGGGTCGTGGGCATTCGCCTTGTGGTCCATCGCGTGATCCGTAGTGATCGTCCGTGATCTCCAATACAAAAACTTGGACCACATACAATGAAAAAAAAATTTCCATATTGGAATTTTTTGAAGACAGTGGGCTTCAAATTTCAAATTTAATTTAAAAATAATACATTCAAATAATACTCAACATTATATTTTTTATTTTACTATTTTTACTTTATTTTTTATTACCAATTTTAATATCACTGTGACACTGTAAATGCTTAATTTAATATTAATAATAACTACGATTTTAATTAAATAGGTACACTTTTTTTTTATAAAATTGATTTGCGCTTATGGATTATTAAAAAGGTAATTTTTTTTGCGCTTATCGTTTATTTATTTTTGCGCTTTTGGGTTGCGTTTGGGTCATATTTTGAGCTTATGGGCTACACCCGGCATTTGATCTGCCACTTCGGATGGTAACTAAAATAATATAATAATATGTTATAATATTTATAATATAAATAGCCTATAATCAAAATTATTGAAATATTTAGTATCGTCTCGATTGATAACGTGAAAAATACGAAAACTAACAATAAAAGATTAACGATGAGTAAGTTTTTTGAAATATTATGAACGAAAAAAATTTAAAATAGTAAAAAAATATTTTTAATTTTAAAATTACTATAAAAAGCCAGTTTATTTTTACGTATTTTTAAACAAATATCGTGATTACCTATATAACAATAAAAAAATCACAGGTGTTGGGTCCTCTAAACTATATTAAAACTATAATATTTAATTACCTTTGAAGATGTCTCTGCTAATAAACTTCATGTAGGCATAATTGTAGTGATGGCATTTTCTTTTATTTTATTGATAGTTTTTTTTACTTCAATTTTTGCCCTATTTTGTACATGGTTATGTACCTTGTATTTTATGACGCTATCTATTTAATAAATAGGTATATAATAAATGATATATTAGAATACCTACAATAAGAAATTAAAAATTTTACCTTGCATTGTATGAGCGCGGCCAGTACAATTTTTAGACTCGTTACATCTCCAAATAACTTTTTTGCCAATAGTTCTTTCACTTTTATGAATAAAACCATCACGAATTAAAAGATCATGCCCTCGTTGACTTTTTATAAATTGTAAAGGCATCATTTTTATATTTTGTAAAATGTAATTGTAAAATATATAATAATTGTTATATTGCGTGGGCCAAGCAAGACGTATATATACGTAGACGTGTATAGGTGGTACTGTATAACACTATAATCGATAGAGAGTAGAGACTCGTGATGACTGATGAGTAGGTACACTGTAATAATTCGAATATTCGATAAAGACTCAAGTAATAACCAATGATAACTAATAATAAAGAAAGTACTACACCACTACCACTGAATTATAAAGATACGATAGAATTATTATATATATATATTACATTATTAAATGTTATTAAAAAAAAAGACACTGTAGATAATCTATTTTATCTAATACTAGCTATACTGGGTGATTCTTTTATCAAACAACACTCATTATTTCAAAAAGTGAAAATTTTTTTGAAGATATTTTTTTACATAGTTTCAAGTCGCTTATAAAACAACGTTTTTATTAAAAAATTATATTTTTAATTATTTTTTATCCTTATAATTTTTTAAGTTTTTTACTTTTTTGAATGACAACATAGGGTTTTAATTTTATATTCTAAAGTAGAATATTTTTCTTAGTATTTTGATACATGAAAATTGAATTTGGGGCGAGTAGTTTATGAGTTATAAGTATTTAAAGTTTAGACGAGCGGTGAAGTGGACAAACATTTCGCGGGGTAACCCCGAACCACTCCACTCCGCTCGTCTAAACTTTAAATATTTATAACTCATAAACTACTCAACCCAAATTCGATTTTCATGTATCAAAATACTAAGAAAAATATTCTCCTTTGGAATATAAAATTAAAACCCTATGTTGTTATTCAAAAAAGTAAAAAACTTAAAAATTTATAAGGATAAAAAATATTTAAAAATATAATTTTTTAATAAAAACGTTGTTTTATAAGCGACTTGAAACTATGTAAAAAAATATTTTCAAAAAAATTTACACTTTTTGAAATAATGAGTGTTGTTTGATAAAAGAATCACCCAGTATACCTATATAAATATATGCTATAAAATGACGCTCGACCAAATGTAGCATGCGTCGATGTTACACGTGACGAAATGGTCGGGATACCGTTGTAAATACACGCACTTCCGTTTTTTAAATTTAAAACCAATCCGTCGACAAATATTTGATGCCAAAAATCAAATGTAACTATCAAATATTCCGATGGTTCTTTTTTTTTAATTTAGTATAATACGTATAATATAATACGTTATCAAAAGTCATAACGCTTATCTTATACTTACCTTATACTTGGTATTACTTACGTCTTACATTAAGCATCGTATAGGGCCGGTCGGCCGGAACCGTTTTAGTGTCTCATCTGTATCCCTCTATCTAGATTTAGTTTTTCAAATATTCCGTACTTCCAGCCTACTATAATATTTTAATTTTATTATTATTGAAATGTAAAATAAAACGATCTGTACCTTCAATAAGTACCTACATAATATAATATGGTAACTGATATTGCAGGAGGCGTAAGTAGTGTAAAAAGGTAATTGATAACACGGGTGATTGTAAACTATGGTGCAGATTTTTTCCAAGTAAAAATGATTGATTTTATGTAAAATCGGCACGAATAAAACTACATGCCCTAATTAGTAATTAGTAATTAATTTAATAATACTTGTGTAAAAATCTGGGCACTATAGTAATGACTTTATAATATTTTTGAAAACAATTAAACATTACCCAGAATCCAGGAGGAGGCGATTTTCATCATCCACCAAAAATCATTTTGTTTTATTTTCATTTTCATATTATTAAAAAGTATGAAAACTCGTTATACTCCAAATGATATCGCAGCTTTAAAAATATTATCAAATGTTGATATTGATTTTTTTTGCCATATGAGATAAATGTTTTTCTAAACTTAATCAGATTATATACTTGTTTTGTCGATGGTATTATACCCTGAGTAAACGGATTGGTTCTATCAGTATAGCACAAACAGGTAACGCAATAAATTGTATTGAGATGAAGTGAATAGGAAAGCCATTTTCTTTGAACCATAGTTTGATTTGACATTATTCGATAATATAAACGACATGTTTTAAATGTAAATTATGTAGATCTCCAGAAGGTTGAATTGGATGGTATCTTAGGAAACATAACTTATCCCTGGCACTCGCATTAATATTAGGCGGTACAAATAATGTAATTTCTTCTATGGCTTCAGGAGATAATGGAGTGTTTGGCACTAGAAAGTATGAACAAATTAAAATGAGTAAAAATATATATTGTTTATTTTTTATTTAATATTACCTGATTTATCTTCTTCATTAATATAAGGACCATCAGCTAGTACATCAGTATTAATTTAGTTTTCTGAAAATATAACATATTATTGTTCATGTAATATATAAAATAATATTAACAAGTTTTCACTACATTAATTTTGAATGGATAATTATTATTTAATAATATTACCTGATTGATCTTCATCATCTTCATAAGGACTAGTGTCTTGAACATTTATAATAGAAGTAAATTGCTGATTAGAATCAATAGTTTCTTTAAAGAAATAAATATATATTATTTTATTAGTTTTTACTGAGGTTTTTACATTCATCTCAGTTTAAATACAATATACAAATTAAAAATAAATTTGATTACCTTACAGTATTTAAAATGTTAATCACATGTAATTTCTAAAAGCTTAAAAGCTCATACGTAGAAATCGAATATCTATATATACATTATACATTTATACAATATGTATACCCTGCTTTTATACGTAGATTTATCTAAACAGAATTTTAACGGATAATAAATGAAAAGGATACCTACACGGTTGCACGTATTTTATACGATGCATAAACCTAGGAAATTACGAATATTATACGTAGAATAAACGTTAAATATCTCCCTAGGCTCGTTTGACCAAAAATTATCCTTAAATTATACTAATATCAACAAAATATCATCTATTATGGTGTTTTATACATTTCTACGTAATTATTTTATACCATATATGTAGATTTTACATATAATACATTATGTATATTTGCTATGTTATATAATACACTAATACCTACATACCTGACACCTGTACCTGTACCTGTATGAAGTACCTACATTTGGAAAACAAAGTTGAATAAATACTCATGTAATTTGAATGCAATATTTTTATTGGAAGATACTTTAAAAAACCTGAGGCACTCGAAGACTTCCGCTGTAAATCTATTGCATAGCAATTTTGTAGCCATGTATTATGTAATTATTTATTTTTGTATGATATTAATTCAAGTTACACTTTTTGAGCGTGACGACCGAAAAGAAAATGACAAAATGAGTTTTTTTTTGTTGATAATGGTAGATAAACACTGTTTGAAATATTTTATTTGAGACTGTTTTTGCCTAGAAAACTTGTTAGACTGTAAATAACAAAAAAATTATAACGTAGCATGTATCAAACACTGTGTAATAACACAATGTATTTATGGATCTACTATAAAATCATGAAAACTGAGATACGTGTTGTTGCAGTATCAGCGACGATATAGGTTATATACATTCAACATTCTGACAGAGAGCTCAGAGCATTGTACATTGGTAGATTAAATGTTATGCTGCACGCGGGTAAAAAAATTAACACAAAACGACACGAATTACAGATTGTCAAAACAAAAAATCGAGTCAGACAATAATAAATATTAACTCATATTTCATAAACAAGTCGACAACTACGATTTATTGCTAATTTCATCATTATAATATATATCGTATATTTTAGATACCCGCTACCTGCAAATATACCTACAAACAATAATCGACGACTGCCGAGGCGCCGACATTCGACCGCAGATAATAATAATTATATCTCACGGTCACGCTTTGTCTTTAAGAAAACCATGCCAGGCCCTCGATAAAAGCTATGCAATAGCTTAAGGGGATTCGATCCAGCGTATTTATTTCATGATTTAGACCTAAAAGCCTGACAAAAATACGCCTACTTAGAATTATCAGATTTCAATTCTGTAAAAAGATTCGAGTTCATTGACAATTTTCCTAGGTTATTGTGGGAATCAATTTTCGATATTTTTTTTAGAATTCACGTTAAATCATACTTCGATTTCTCAATTTTTTGAAAATTGTTTGTGTCTTTCTTTAAAAAGTTAAACAGTTATTCAAAAATCGACTCCCACAATAACCTAGAAAAAAGAACGATGAATTCAAATATGTTTACAGAACTAAAATCCGATCATTCTAAGTTATCGTATTTTTGTCAGGCTTTTAGGTCTCAATTGATTGAAATTAGTTTCTCGTTGGAACAAATATTTTATTATGTGACATGTGCATGCGGGTGCGAACCACTGATTCCTAACGTATCTACGCACACTAATGATCATTTACTTCTCACACAAACACACTGCGAAACGATTATAATACATCGAATTGCCTATACACGACCCCTTATTAAATCACCGGATCGAATCCCCTTAATAATGATAATGATAAAAAACAAAATAATATAACTATAAATAAGAATTAATAAAATTACAAAAAAACTCAATGTAATGAGAATTAAATAAATCAACATGGATGCCAAACTTAATTATTCAATTTGTAGGCGAACCAAGTCAATAATTTGTTCTTTGAAATAGAATATAAAACAATTTTGCAAATCTGGTTTGATAATGAGGGACCTTAAAATTAAAGCAACTCATTAATTCAGGACAGTTTATATTATAGGTGGGTACTTTTATTAAAACGTTTGTCGTTTTACTCTACCTATATTTACTGGTGAAAAAGCCCTATGAATGTGGTTAAAATGCGACTTTTGCAATTGCATTTGAACATTTCGGCCTTTCGTTACAGAATATAGGTAGGTATATATTATAATTTATAGTAGGTATACTATAAATAGTAGGTATACTATAAATACTCCGGCCAAGCTGCCGTATTATACTTATATAGGTATGTACATGCGAATGTGCGATCAATATCCATGGTACGCGGTAAGACGAACCGCCGTTGTGTGATGTACACGCCAGAAAGCCTGTAGAGTTTGAATTAGTATAGAAGCATTAATATAAGACGTGTGCCTATTTTATTATTTATTATGATTTATGATGTGTGAGTTATGTAAACTGTCATTTGAATCATACTGTACACATACATAGATGTGCGTATTGAAGACAACATCTGTACCTACCTACCTCATATCTACATTCGAGTCATTGCGAAGAAGCGTGGACTATAGAATCAAAGAAGAAGCCAGACTAACAAGAGCATTATTTGCTACAAATAGTAGTTATGTTAATATCGAAAAAATATTACAAGAACAAACTATGACTGATTTACCAAAAATGGATTTATCAAGTTTTATAGATTTTGATGATGGATTGAAAAATGACATTGAATTAATGAAAAATCTAGCAATTATAAATTCTTTATAATATGTACAATTTATTTTTTAATTCATTTTTCTGAAATGTTTCATGGTACTTAATATTAAAAGTTCTGCAAAATTATCAGAAAACCTAACATCCGTCATTCCAAAAATATTGTCAAAACCCGTACAACTACTCTACAGTGCTTTTGGCAGAGAAACTAATGGAGTTAAGAAAATGAATTTTTCGTTAACTGAAACTTACAAACTGTTATCAGGTATAATAGTCCTAAATGCTACTCTTAAATTTATTGTACACATATATGTCTTTGTTACTTCATAAATAATTTATTTTTTAATTTAGAAGTGCTTACTATGAAGTTTCCTGAAACCAATAATAAAGAAATATCGAGCATACTAAGTCGTTGGTTTTCGGGTGCTAAAGATAGAGAAGGCGGAAAAAAGAAAGGAGTTTAAAAAAACAATCATATAGAGTTGAAAAAATAGAATATGATGAAGAATTGCTATAAAAACAAGTTGTTTTTTTTTTTTTTTTAATACAGTATAATTTCTAAGTTGAAATATTATATTCATTTATTTTTTATGAAACAATCTAAGATTTGTTATTAAAACCTTTTATTTTTATTTTCTAATACAGTATAATGTCAAAGTTAAGATTATTATGTTCATTTTTTTATCATGACTTCAGTTTGAGATTTGATACAGTTAATTATATGTATATTATTTGAAGAAAATTGTATTTCTAAATCTAAAATTGTAAATATCAGTAGAGTATTTTGGGTACTGACCAACAATAATATTAGGCCATAAGGTAGTTTGTACAGATTAGTATTATAGTTATATAATAGCCAAATTTATGATAGTATAGCATTCCAGTAGGGAAATTCTTATTATACCAGTATTGAAACAGTTATATATGTTAGTAATGGTCAAGTATAGGAAATCCAGTAGGTACAGTAAACTGTTACCATCCCAGACATATGCCAGCAATATTCAGTACTGCGTCTTTATTTAACTTCAGTACTGGCTATGTACTGGTAATCCAGTAAGGAAAAGCGTTATCATCCCAGACATATGACATCACGGGTACCAGTATTTGCTGTCAATAGTGGGCCAGTACTAGTTAGTACTGATAAAGTACTGTGCCTGTTGTAAATTTCCGATTGGGCAGGCGTCCGCCGGGGCGATGCCTTGTATGCCATGGCATCACCTGCAGAGTTATCTTAACCATAAACTTTTTAGTTGTAAGTGTTTTGATTATAAATTAGAATCATGAACTAAGAATTTAAATATTTTGATTAATTTTTTTACTGATAATTTTAAATGTTGACCTCCCTAATGCACCAACGATATTCACTTTCCAATCGAACAAGATACTGAAGTTGAAAATCGAAGCATTATTTCGTCTATGAAAATGTCCGTAAACAGCTCAAAAAGAGTAAAAACTGGATGGTGTATACGAAATGCTAATATAAACATTCAGTGAATTTTCATGTATCTACAGTTAATCGTTTTTGAATTACAACAAAATAAGAAAATCGTTACATAAGAAATCGAGTGAATATCAAATGTTGTAAAAATATGAATTTCAAACGCTCATAAAAATTTAATTTGAGTTTCTTGTAGTCATTTTTTTTTTTTGATAAAGGTAGACAAACTTATGAGGAATCTTGTATTACATTTTTATATCTTAGATTTAAAAAGAAAATTTTTTATGAATTTCTAACTATATGAATTGTGACTATGGATTTTTTATTTTTTTCATCTGCATTTGGAACAATATACTAGGAGCCTTCTATTAAATTTTCAAGCTTTTTTAACCAACAAATACAATTTTATTGATATTTATAGAAAAAAAATGGAAACTGAAAATGTCCGTAAACAGCTCAAAATAAGTCAAATATTTGGAAAATGTTATGGTGTATGCTAATATAATCATTCAGTCAAAATTTCATGTAAGTACCTGCGGCCATTTGTTTTTGAGTTGCACCAAAAACCAAAATCGATTTATTTGATAACAGATTTTGTATACAAATCCCCGTTTTTCCTTAATTTTTCTTTTGGTTTTTGGTCTTTCAGTCAATAATGATATATTATGTGATAGGTGTTCTATAAAAAGGTGGGCAAGTGGGTGTCGTTCCGCTGTACAGTAGGTTACAAGTGGGTCACTATCATGGATGGTGTTCAATTTGAATTCAAATATATAAAACCATTAAATACGAAAAACGATTCTGAGCGAAGACCTGATCTGTCAGCCTATCATAGGCGTGAATAGACTTCATCGGCAGGGGCAGTCTAGCTAATAACCGGCAAAACCTTATTGGTAAACTGAGAAAAGTCCTATACACCCAAAGCCGTATTTTTCTAAGCCCCCCTCCACAATGAAATATTTATATAATTAAAAAAAAAAGGCTAAATTATCTATTACAATAATAACCTATAGTAACTTCAGAAATATTATTCATCTACTGCCTTGGATTACACCACCTTCAAATCAAAAATAATACAACAATAATATCAATAATACCTAGATGCGTACTGTACCGTTGTCGTCTGTCTCAAGTCTTTATAGTAGGTTTTTCTGATTTCGGAAGTCAGGAAATCAATCTTTGTAAGTAAATGGTAATTATAACGATACCCACAAAAAATCAAGTTTTTAAAAAAAAGGAAATGTTGTAACCCTTCTGACTTAAAACTTGGTTGACCGGCACCATTAAAAAATAGCAGGGGCAGCCATAGGCTGCCACCGTAGACACGTCTATGCAGCCTATGATATTATTAAGTAGGTAGGTGTATTTGATGATTTTATTGTGGTTAAACTCAGTTAAAGTACTTAATTTATTTTAATATTGTCCATTAGGGATTAGTAGGTACCTACAGGCTTCAACAGCAGGTTAAATTCATTTTTGGTAAAAATAATACATTTGAAAATGTCATTGTGTGTTGAAAATATAATAATATTAAGGTACTCTAAAAAACGTTGAAGCATACAGACCAAGTATAGGAAATAGGACTAGTATTGCAGACATGCATTCACCTCGAGAAAGGTCAGGTAAATTACTTGAAGAATAGTTAAAAATTATTTTATTGACATTTTTAATTGCACTGAAGTAAAATTGAAATTTTCATATAGTAGTAGTTGCATTAAAGGGTTTGTTGTATGTTGTCAGAAAGTTGTTTTGAAAGATGTGAAGATGATTATTTGGATTCTGTAGAAGTGTACAGTCCCATCACCTGGTATACCTGGGCCATTCTAGGTGCATTAATGAATGCAAGACGGGATTTTTCGGGAGTATTTACTAGTAATAGCTATTAATAGGCCACCTAGATTTTAAAATGTGTTAGCCTACATGGGTTTTTTTGTAGTTACAACATGTGTATAGATATTTTGTACCATAATAAATTACCTAATTGTTTTTCTATTCATTTTACAGTTACGGAATGTTTTATTAAAAGTTAATTGTACGATATAAGTTTACTAATAATAAAATAAACAAGGTTTAATATGTATTAAATAGTATACTTTTATGTAAAAAAGTGTAAAACAATATTATTATATACTTGTTTTTTTCTCTTTGTTTTCAAGATCCCAGTCACATGTTGGTAAGATTTGTCGAGCACCCATTTAATTTAACTATAGAGATTTTATAATAGGTATCTAACAACTTACGACTTTTATCCAGAAGTACTTCAGAAAGATTTATTGTTTTAGATTCTGAGTGAACGATGAATGTATTGATTTTACAAAGATATTGTGTGTTTTTTTTTATTTTTGTGTGTTTTCACGGTTTAGGGCAGTAAAACTGCTTCGATTTTCTTCAACAGTATCTTGTTCGATGGGAAAGTGAATCTAGTTGGTACATCGGGAGTTCAAATTTTAAAATTCCCAATAGTTTTCACAAGCGCCGGGAAAAACAACATAAAAATTAAGGAAAAACGGGAGTTTTTGACAAAATCGATTTTGGCTTTTGGTGTAACTCTAAAAAAAATGATCGTAAATACATGAAATTTTCATTGAATGTTTATATTAGCCTTTCCTATTTACGAAAAAAATTTCAAAAAATGTTGATTTGTTTTGAGCTGTTTAAGGATATACTTAGTTTCGAACTTTTTTAGGTTTTTTTTTCTATGAATGTCAATAAGCTTGAATATTTAATACAAAGCTCCTATTATGTTGTTACAATGACGTTTGAAAAATATTAAAAATCCTTAGTCACAGTTTTTTTTATAAGCATTTAAAGTTCAAATATTGACAAAATACATAAAAATGACGAAAATGTTGTATTTATTCATATTATTTTAATACCATGTGAATTTAGAGAATAATTTATTTAGGAGGGAAGCTATGCGTAACTTTTGAGGGTGCATAGCCACTCCACTACTCCAGCCTCCCTTAGTTGAGCTTATGTCCATTATCAGCTATATTTGACTTTCTTATAGACATTTTTTTTTTGATAACCTTATAATAAATCTTGTATTACATTTTAAAACTTAGATTTAAAATTAACATTTTTAGGAATTTTTAACTCAAAATAAAGGAACTAGTTCTATTTCTCATTCCTAAATAAAGAATATTTTCGTTCGTCAATAGTTTTAAAATAGTTTTAATATCATTTTTACTAGGTAGTAAGGTAATAAATTGTTTAATTTTGAAGTTATTTTGTTTTTAAAATGTTTAATTTGTTTATTTCATTACAAATTAACACCGATAAGACCACAGTGACTGAGTGAAATTGTCTAAACATTGTAAATATTATCGTATATTGTAGTATATAGATTTAATATAATAGCCCATTTACCATTATATTGAATAAATTTCTAAAAAAAAAAAATATAATCGTTCATGTTTCACTAAAAAATGAGAGAAATTCCAATATGTTGATGAAGAATATGAACTTTTCAATATAATATATTAATATTTTTTTCAGTAGACAGGTAAACAGGTTAGTACAAACACATAGGATTCATATATTGACCAATACCTTAGCTAGGTATAGAAATTCTATAAGTTAGTCAGTTTCAAGTTCCGTCAGTCTAGGTATAAGACATATTTTATACTAATCTATCGTATTAAAAAAATGTACCTAAAATAGGTACCTATAATAAATTCCAAAATCCAAATTAATCATATCACAATAACCATTAGGTACTTATAAGGCGTTATACATCAACAACAAACCCTGATACTATCATAGATATATGGTAGTGTACTTTAGAAGTTTCAAGTACCCACGAATGATATTATAGGTACAATCACAACAAAATAACTAAAATAGTTATTCTAGGTTTTTTATTATATAATTTCGTCCAAATTTGAACTTAAAATGACTATAAAAAAAAACTGTTTTTATGTATTTTTTAGATTTTTTGGTAACAGAATTAACTACCTATTTACTTGGAATCGTGTTTTAAATTTTCAATCCTTAGATATAAAAGTTAAACATTTTATACATTTTTAGCTACAAAATAATTATTAAAATTTAAATTTAAATTTGATACATATTGTCAAATTCGATCTTTAAATACTTATAAAAAAAATTGTGAAATGTGTGAGTATCCAATGTTGTAAAAATTTGAATTTCAAACGCTCATGAAAATTTAATTTGCATTTCTTATAGACAATTTTTTTTTTTGAGTGAGGTAGATAATCTTATAAGGAATCTTGTATTACATTTTAAAATCTTAGATTTAAAAAGAAAATTTTTTACGAATTCTTAACCCAAAATATTTTGCTAATCATCGTGATTTTTCCATATTTTGTCAATTTTTGAACTTTAAATGCTTATAAAAAAAACTGTGACTATGGATTTTTATTTTTTTTCATCTGCCTTTGAAACAATATATAGCCTTATATTAATTTTTCAATATTTTTTAACCAACAAATAAAATTTTATTGATATTTTTAAAAATAAAACTAAAAAAAAGTGGAAAATGAAAATGTTTCTAAGCAGTTCAAAACAAATCATAATATTTCGAAAATTGTATCGTGTATAGAAAATGCAAATATAAACAACCAATGAAAATGTCAAGTATATACATTCATTTTTTTTAGAGTTACACCAAAAATGTTTAATTTGTTTATTTCATACAAATTAACACCGATAAGACCACAGTGGCTGAGTGAAATTGTGTAAACATTGTAAATTTTATCGTATATTGTCGTATATAGATTTAATATAATAGCCCATTTACCATTATATTGAATAAATTTCTAAAAAAAAATAATATAATCGTTCATGTTTCACTAAAAAAATGAGCGAAATTCCAATATGTTCCTTCACACGAAAAAGTAACTACATTCATGTTAAGTTACTGAAAATTGAACGAAATCGCTGGAAATAGTTCATTGCACTGAAACTTACCTATTATCAATGTTGTTAAAAATACTTTTCAAAAGTATTTCAAATAGGTATTTAAATACTTCAATTAAAAAGTATTTAAATATTTATTTAAATACCTTTGCTAATAAATATTTAAATACAAATACAAATATATTGAAAAAGTATTTCAAATATTTTTAAATACATTTTTTTAAGCTTTATTATTTTCTGATTCTTAATTCTTAAAACTAATTATTTGTTTAATGTAATAATGTGTATTGAATATAGAAGACTATTGTAGGTTTATACAGAATTTCTTTATTAATAAAAAATTGTAGTTTAAAATTTATTACATTTAAGAAACATAACCTTTTCAAAATGGTCGTCAGTTATTCTCCCTCTACGTTTTGTGAGTATAGCGTTGCTTACACTAAAAATTCTTTCAACAGAAGCACTGCTTGGTAACGCAGTGTTGTGTTCTATAAAAACTTTTTTAATGTTGGGTTAATGTTGTCAAAAAACTTGATATTTCATTTTCAATGGAAATGTTGGAATTTGAATGAATTTTGGACCAAGAAAAAAATGAAGATGTTTCATCACCATGTTTATTAGTATTTTCATCATCTATGTTAGATGTCTCAATACCTTCACCTTCAGACTTTGATTTTTTTAAAACAGCTTCTTTGAAGTTAGCAACAGCCAAATCTTTGATTATATTATTATTTATCCACAATGTCTTAAAATATGGATGAGATAAAGCAGCAATAACTAAAAACTTATCTGCTTGTTCTTTTCGAAAGCGTGTTTCAATGCTTTTTTTGATAATATTAATTAATGTTGCACAATAATTTAATCTTGTTTTTGTAAGCAAATCATCATATTTTGATAACAATATAGAAATAGTAGGCAGTAAAAAACCAAAATACATGTTTTTTTCACCCTGTAGAATATCGAGGGCAGCTGCTAGAGGTTCCATGATAGTTACATAATCTTCCATAAAATCAATATCTTCTTTTTTAAAACGCACAACACCAATTGAGTCACACAATCTAACAGATTTTGAAAAATTCCCTTTAATATGATTCAATAAAAAGATAATGGAATCATAAGTGGAATTCCATCTGGTTTCATTTGGTGTCACTAGATACACACCAAAACATTCTTTAATACTGTCTGCAACTTGAGTAGAGCGGTTTTGTTTGTTCCATAGATTATTAGCTTTAGCAAAAGTAGCTCTACATTGCTGTTTGTAGTTCCATAGTGTTGAAGATTTACTTTTTACAGAAGCCAACTCTTTTTCTATGTCCTGAAAGTAAAAGATAAGTCATTCAGTTTAAAATTTAAATTGCTATTTGCTAGATATGCATTAATATAAAAATGTTCTTACATTGGTTGCAATTAGATTCAAAGTATGCGCAGCACATCTATGATGCTTGGGTAGAATATAATCTATATCTTCTGCTTCATCAAATAGGTCTGCAATATTTACATAAGCTGTACCATCTGTATTTTCATCACTTATATCAAAATCGTCCGATTCTTCACTATCAGATAAAAGAGTGATATTATTTTCAATTGGTAAATCAACATCATTTTTTTGACCATATACTCTGAAAACGAATATACCTAATATAGTTTACTCCAATAAAGACTGTTATTAACTATGTAACTAATAGTCCTAATAAATAAATTATATAAAAATTTAATTCAATCTTACTTAAAACTCTTGACAAAATTTGATCCATTGTCTGTTGTTGAGTACACTATTTTATCATTTATGTCAAAAACAGTATATACTGACTCCATTGCTCTAGCCAGTACATCATAAGTATGTTTACCTTTCAAAGGTTTTATGGATAACAAATAAGATTGGCGTTCAAATGTTTTTGTATCGATCCAGTGGACAGTAATTCCTAAGTATGATCTTTTTAGAAATAAATAAAACTATGTATCAGTAATTAGTAATACAAATATAAAAATAATACAATCATACAATCATAAACGTGTATTGGCCCATAATATATTAAATTAAATGTATAAGTGTATTAGAATTACCTTTTAAATGTAGACCAAGCATCGGCTGTCGTTGATACAAATTCAACTTGTTCTTTAATTTATCAAAGGCAACTTTATAGCTATTATCTATACGTTTCATTAAAGTCTGGCGACATAATACAGTTCTTCCAGGATAGCCTTTGGAAATAATTGTTTTAAAACTTTCATGAGAAACCAAATTGAATGGTAAATGTGCATTTATTATGACGTCTAAGATCATTTGATCAAGGTCTTCTGTAAAATACAATTTAAGTTAGGTAAGTAATATCTAAGTCTTACTAATATAGAAATACACGTACATACTATTACTATATTAATATATTATATTATTATTTATTATACTAAATCAACTGTACCTTGAGAAGTCAAACTTTTACGATTTGAACAATTAAGTATTGACATCTGAACAGTATTTACATTTTTGATTTTTTTTACATCAGAATTATCATGAATTTCAGTGTTGACTTTTCTTTTAACATCTACTGAAACAGTAGTAGAAGGAGCTAGTAATTCTTTAACAGACTTGACATTACTATGTTTATCCTATAAATTTTAGAACAAATAGGTAAAAATAATAAATATAGATGGTACCAGGTAATTTTTTTATCTGATCTTTTCTTTTAATTTTTTATACAATTTGACTGAATTTGTACGATTATAGTATCTAAGGACTAATAAAGCACACAGGACAATTGTGGGGCGACAATCCAAAACGTACTATTGCTAAAATTGAAGAAATTGAGTTATAATATATTGATTCTTATAGAAATTAAGGCAGGGAATCGAATAGTGCAATCAAATTGTGACAAAACGTACTATTTCCGTACTATAATTGAATTAAATACATAACGTAGGTACTATTTCCGTGGAAAAATAGAAAATCGTGATTTCTCAAAAAAGTATAAAATGGAAATAGTACGTTTTGGATTGTCGCCCCACAATTGTTAAAATTACCTAGTAATAAAAAATATGAATTTAGAATTATCCATTAGGTACTTACTTTCAAATGCTTGCGAAGATTTGATGGGGCACGTGAATCAGCAGTACGCGTCTTCGAACAAATACAATGTTTGCAAGATACTTCGTACGTAGTGTGCAACTCGCAACTATTTATTATTTTAATAACTTTAAAATGAATATTATAAATATTCCACGGAAGAATTAGTTCATTTTCCATACTAGTTAAGTCTTTAATATAAAAATTAAAAATATACTGCGTATTTTAAAACAATTCTATATAGTCAGGACTCACGGCAGTGTGCAAACAATAATATTACAACGATTGACAACTATAGTCTATAGCATGATAAAATAAACAGGTATGATGACATCGATACGTGTTCTCGTCAATTCTAGCGCACCACGCCTACTGTAGTTCTCGTTATTTCATTGGTCGTATACATTTTGGCGCCAATATTTTATATTATGAAAATATTACATGATACTGTGTTGATAGCGTATTACCATCACATACTTATTACTTATATGGAGTTATATTATCTTTTTGTTTTATTTAACTCAAGTGTTTTGTTCATTGTTGTCTGTTTACTAATTGACTTGTGAATAATATAATACAAACATGCCGGTTTGCAGCTTTACAAATTGCCTTAGTGGAAGTAAAAAGATCAAGTGGAATACTGTTGAACCACCCATTACACTTCATCGATTTCCGAAAGACCCTTTTTTTAGGAAGTTATGGGCTCAACAAGCTCTTTCAGGCTCGGAAAAAAAAATCAGTTTCGATTCAGGTTTGATATAAAATTTCTTATATTTATTTAATTATATATTATACAAAGATTTGTTCGTTAAACAATAATTTGTAGCTGTTATTTGCTCTCTACATTTCCCTGCATATCAGTATGATGATTCATGCACTGGTAAACGTAAGCTAAGAGAAGATGCTATTCCATTGACTCCCCACTCAAAAGATAATTCCACTAATGTTGAAGTTATATGCACACCATCAGGAAGATTTTATGTGTAAGATCATTTAAATAAAAATACTATTTTATAAAAAAAAGTAAAGGTAATAGCTGATGTTTTTCAAATATTAGAGAGTCATGCAATGATTTAATCCAATCAACTTCTGGATTTTTGAATAGTCCGGTTTTAAAAGATTCTTCAGTATCTTCACCTAGGTATTCACAAAAATCACATAATTAGCACCTACCTATATATTACATAATATTTATTATTAACATGTTTTATGATTACATATTATATAGTGTTTCTAGCCGGCCTGTGAAATGTCGAACCAGGTTATTTGATTGTGGTATGCCAGCAGATCATGAAGATTTAGGAGTTCATAGTTTTGATAAGACTTCTAAAACTGAAAAGAGTATTGATGAAACATCTAAAACTGAAGTTGAAAAGTAATACTTTTAAATATTGCTGTAAGATGCAAGTTAATTTCTAGCATTTTAATTGTTTTATTGTTTATTCATATAATCATATTTACATACATCAACTACTTTGTTGCTTGTGTATTTTTGTCTATGTTTTATTGAACTTAACTCAATAACAAAAATATATTTTTGTGATATTCAAACAATTATATATATATATATATATATATTACAGGTATGTTTAATTATGATCTTCTAAACTCTATCACATTATTTCTGCATGTATATACTTGTTTTTTAGTTAGTTGTCACAAGAGATTCAAAGAAGAAATTCAACAAATTAGAATTTAAAATGAAAAAAACTTGTTCTTGATTTGTTTAGGATAGCTTTTTTTAAGTAGCCTTTTCAATCAAGAACATGTTTTTGACATTAAGCGATCATTTGATTTTAATTCAAAAAAATTATTAAGAACTTATTTATTTATAGTAATTATAAAATGTTTATTCAAAGATTATAAACTATACAAATTTAATTTATTGAGATGTTTTACTAAATTATACATTTTTCTTATTCCTTATTTTGTTTATATATATTGAATTCTCTATATTATATTATAATATTATTATTATATAATATCCCAATAATTGTTGATTTTTTTTTTTATGTATGCTTGTATTTTAACTATACTACTTTTTATGTAAATTGTTATGTATGTGTTAGTCTTATAAATATTAAAATAATAAAAATATAATGTGATATAATAAATATTTGTTATGAAAATATTGTAATTACATTAAGATTAATGAACCAGATATAATTGTTGCAACGATAAAATTTACAGCTGAAAATCTGCGTGCGCTACTTAAACGGTCCAAGTTATTATTCCTCTTTCATTGATCTAAAAAAATGTATGCATGCTATTTAGCTTACCATATTTTTCTAATGTTTGTATTAATAAAATGCATGTTTTCTATTATATGTTAGTATTATATGTAATGTTTTCATTATTAAAAAATATATTGATAATATAGTGTTTTAATTATTTAATTAAGTATTTTATTACTTTAATTATTAATTTATGTTCTACTCCGTAAATAGTAATACCATGAAAAGTATTCCTAAAATGATTAGACTGAAAGAAGAATGTGACAAGTATAAAGAAAAAAAGTTTTTAGATTGTAATTTTTTGGAATTTGAGAAACTTGAAAAATTACCTTCTTTCCAAATGCTTTATATGTTGTATAATATATATTTTTGTAAATATTTTTTATGTTCTATACAATATGATTTATATAATTTCATATTTTATCATAATAGACTGAAAAATATAATAAGTTTTCAACAAAAAGAAATACTTTCATTAAAAGACCAATTGAATAAAGTTCCACTGGATTTTGAATCATGGTTTACTGAGCGTTTATCACATTTATTTTCACCAACACAAATAGAGTTGCTTTTACGACCCAAACACAAAGTTTTTAGATGGACTCCAGAAGATATTTCTTCAGCAATATCTTTAAGAAGTATTTCAACAAAAGCATATCGATATTTACGAGATAAAAAAAAATTTCCATTACCGGGTAATAATAATTCAATAAAAAAAAAATAATAATAATAATAATAACAATTAAATTACATTTTGTAGGATTATCAACACTTAGAACATGGGCAGGTAATTTCTCAGTTGAGCCAGGAATTCTGAATAGTGTATTGACTTTGATGAAAGCAAAAGGTAGAATCTTCATATAAAATAACTTAAATTTTGCTGTTAATAAAATTGTAAATGTAAACAAACATTTTTAAGGAGAAACTTTGACAGACCAAGAGAAATTAACAGTTATTTCATTTGATGAAACTTACGTGTCAAAAAGAATTTGCTATGACAAAAAAAATGAGCAAATGATTGGTCCTCATAAATGCGTTCAAACTGTTATGGCTCGAGGTTTTTTTTCTATATTAAAAAATTTGGTATGCAAATATTTTCTCAGTAAACCTTTTCTTAACAGGGCTCATATCTCCATGGAAGCAACCAATATTCTACAACTTTGATACTCAAATGACTGAAGAATTATTAAAAAGAATTATAATAGAGTTGTATGATATAGGATATAACGTAGTAGCAGTTTCTAGCGATATGGGTCCAACGAACATTGGATTGTGGCGTGAATTAAATATATCTATGGAACAAACATCGTTTCCACATCCAAAAACATCTAAAAATATATATGTTTTTGCTGATGTTCCACACCTTATTAAGTTGGCAAGGAATCATTTTCTAGATAAGTAGGTACTTTAATCTACAAACATTAATTACAATTAATCAAATATTTAATTAATTTTTTATAGAGGATTTGTCTTACCAAACGAAAAATTTGTTGGCATTAATATTTTAAAAGAACTATTAAAATTAAATAGCAATAATGACTTCAAATTAGGGTATAAATTGACTGAACGTCATTTAATGGTTGAAGGTGCATCACGAATGAATGTTCGACTAGCCGTTCAAGTTTTTTCAAATGGTGTAGCAAAAGCAATAAGTTTCTGTGGAAACAATAATTTAATTACAGAGTATAATTGGAAAGAGGTACAAATACATTTATTTATTACATAGATACAATTAATATGCTAATTTAATACTTATTTCTAAATACTAAATAATCAAAACAAGTTGTGAGGCACAAAATAAAAATGATTAAAAATCTAACAGCAATATGTTACTAATAGCAATATTTTACTCATAATTAAAAAAGTAATCTTAGTAACAATTTTTTAGGCTTCAGAACTAATCCAGCTATTTAATGACTGGTTTGATTTGCTCAATACTCAACAGAAAGTTGATAAAAATTCAGCAAGTTATGGACTATATTTACAGTCTCAGGATAAATTATTAGACAAGATGTCTAATTTTATTTTAAATGTGAGAGTACATGGAAAAAAAAGCTTGTTGCCATTTCAAAAAGGTATTTATGCATCATATTACCAAAATTACATTAAGAAATACAAATGTTTTTGTTCCTAGGTATTGTTATTACAAACAAATCATTAAAAGGCTTATTAAATGATTTAAAAGTACATAATATCTCATATATTATGACAAGAAAAGTCAACCAAGATATTTTGGAGAACTTTTTTAGTTTCCTTAAAGGAATGTGTGGAGCAGCATTTAACAATATAACACCTCTACAATTTAAATATGCGTAAGTGTCAGTAATTATTATTTTAATAACTTACCTATACACTCATTAGTGCAACTAAGGGGGGGGGGGTGCTTTGGGTCCTTAGCACAAATGTCTAGTTGCGCCATTGTATACACTTCTCATTTTAACTTAATGATATCATTTAAATATATATTTCTAGTCTCAGATGGTACATTTTAGGCAAGTATTCCAGTATAGTTTTCACTTCTAATCGAAATACTACTGATGGCACAGAGAATAACTTGGTTATGGGAGAAGAATGCTTGTCTGTCCAAGTACTTTCCCAATGTGCTTTGCAAATTGATGACTACAACACTGCCACAACCACCAAAGAACACGCACATCTTATTAGCGAGGAAGGAGCAGCTACAATTGAAGATGTTGATATGAACATACTTGATTTCTTTGAGCAGGAGGTAAGTACACTGTAAATAAACAATTAATAAATTTAAATGGAACAAATAACAAAGCATGAGGTAGACAAATTAATATGTAAATTGTATTTATTTACCAAACTAAATAAATTCCTTGCTAAATTAGACAATTTACTAATTCAACTTCAATCAAGTTCAAAAATGTATAATAATGATTTTATTGTAATTTACAACAATAACATTTATTCTTTAGATGGAAA